TCATAACCCCCACTGTGGCTGCATTTAGACATGGAGTCTCTAAGGAAGTAACTGAGGTTGAATGAGGTCTTAAGGGTGGGCACTGATCTGACAGGATTAGGGTCCTTATGAGACACCAGACGGCGTGTCTACTGTCTGCATGCACATGATTCAGGGACAGGCCAGTGAGGACAGAGAGAAGGTGGCTGTTTACAAGTCAGGAAGTGAACCCTTAAAAGAAACTGACCAGGCTGGCAGGCTTCCAGCCTCCAGAACTATTAAGAAAATGTCTGTTAAGTCACCCAGTCTACGGTATTTGGTTACAATAGCCCAACCTGACTACTTACCTACCTACCTAGAGTGCACTGCACAGGTGGAAAATTGGTAACACTTAGGGAGTCTGGGTCAAAGGCAGAAGGAAGTTCTCTATTATCCTGGCAAATGCTGGTGTTATTCTTGCAACTTGGTGTGAAAATATGCTAAAAAAATAAAAACAAACCCTTCTCCTACCTGGGTGGTGAACACCATGTTGCTGGGCTGTGACGGGCTGGAGGCTGTGCTCTCCTGGTTCCCTGACTGAGGCGAAGGCCTTCTGTATAGCCCTGCCCTCCCTGAACGGGGTTCTTTGCCTGTTTCCCACAATGTCGTCAAGACGGTGGACACCGACCCACTTTCCGCTTTCTCCCGGTGCCCACCCTGCATCTCCTGTGGTCTTCCTTGGAAAGGCCACAAAAGTGTTTCAAGAGGACTCAGGTCCAAGATGGGTCCTTGGAAAATTTGCAGTTTGTGCTATTATAAATGTGGCACATTAATGGTTGCTAAAACCGGGGAGCAACTCCTCAAGGCTTGATGGAAGCACTTCAACTGTGTTTAAATATTCAAAAACACGGCCGGGTGCGGTGGCTCACGCCTGTAATCCCAGCATTTTGGGAGGCTGAGGTGGGCGGATCACCTAAGGTCAGGAGTTCGAGACCAGCCTGGCTAACATGGTGAAACCCCATCTCTATGAAAACACAAAAATTAGCTGGTGTGGGGACAGGCACCTGCAGTCCCAGCTACTTGGGAGGCTGAGTCAGGACAATCACTTGAATCCAGGAAGTGGAGGTTACAGTGAGCTGAGATCGCATCACTGCACTCCAGCCTGGTAACAGTGAGACTCAAAAAAAAAAAAAAAAAAAAATCAAAAACGTAAAAACCAAATCCTGTCCCCCTGTGGCAGCAGCACTGGATCCTACTGACCAAGCTTCCACCCTCCTCCCGGGCCTATCAGGAAGAAACCAATGGGCACGGGGCAGGGACTCATGCTTGTAATCCCAGCACTTTGGGAGGCCAAGGTGGGTGGATCACTCAAGGCCAAGAGTTTGAGACCATGGCCAACATGGTGAAACCCTGTCTCTACTAAAAATACAAAAATTAGCCGGGTGTGGTGGCGCAGTGAGCCAAGATTGCACCACTGCCCTCCAGCCTGGGTGACAGAACGAGACTCCATGTCCAAACAAAAAGAAATCAGTGCAGCCCCAGGACTGTTCTTTGCGTGTGCCCTCTATTAAGGAGCAGGCTGCTAAGAAACTCGGTTTTGCTTTAAATCACTCATTCAAATGTTTCTAAAAGCCCATGGTTTCTCACTACAACTGCAACTTCCACTTGGTAGGTGTCAAGACTGGGGCTGCTCCTTAGGTCTCAAGCTTTGTCCTTTCCACCTGGCTCCTGCTCATCCTCAAGTTGTCCTTATCCAGCACTGAAGACGCTCATTCTCAGAAGTGCTCTGGGAAACCCCCATGTCTTCAAAGTCCTCTCAAGGAACCCCACTGCCCTCATTCCAGCCTGTTTCGGCCACAACCCCATTGACAAGAACCGTAGGGTTGCTAGGGTGAATACCAGGCACACCTCTCAACACTAAACAGCAGCAGCATACTGACATCAGGTTCCACGTTTTCCTTCCTTGTTTTTTAAGAGGGTATAAAATGATTTATACCCGCATGTTTTCAGATCCACTAAAGACCAGGAGATGAGTGTGGACAAACAGATCAAACTGCCTTAAAACTTGACGGTGACAAGCCAAGGCACGAACACACTGACATCACCACCCGCGCATCCATCTCTTCCTATTTTTTCATGGGTGAATGCCAGAGGAGGGCGTTTCACATGGGGACTCGGCTGTGTATCACGACACCTTACACATCTTCCTCACCTGGCATTGTGCCAGTAGGCAAAAAACTTGGTGCAGTGAAACTCAGTTTTTAGTCTTTACTGTCATGTGGTTTCCTAGACAACTGTGAACACAATTCCCTCAGAACAGCCTATGCTGCAGAGGGAGGGAAGGGAGCGTGCCACGATGTGGAAGGTTCATCGCAGTTGCTACAGATCTCTCCTGAGCACCTCGTTTGTGTCCACCTCTGGCTAACCTGAGTGATCACTCATCATCTGGGGGCAACAAGCGGTAAGGGGCACCTTCACGGCCACTGGTAAAGCCCTCATTATCTACACAATAGACATGCAAAACAAACATTTAGAGTTTTATCCATTTTAATTTTGAATTAGAAATCTTGCAAGTTTAATATATACCTTCTTAGTGAATTCCCACTCCCACCCCCCACGAAAAAACCCCCAACTCCAAACCAAATGGCATTTCTGCATCTTGGGTAATAGCGCCTTCACTGTGAAGTAGTTTGAAAGGAAAGCACACGTGAATAGGTGAGTCAAAAACGTCATTGAATTTTTGCTCATCAAACTGATCATCAGACAACGTGGTTCTGTAAAAATCAGCACATAACAACGGGTCTTCCCGCACTCCCTCTGGGGTGACCTGGCCAAGCAGCCTGGGAACAGAGTGCAGGGTCACTCTCTGTAGGGCTGCCAGAAGCCGCAGTCACAAGTCTCAGGATACATCTGTGCAGACAATCCTCGGGTATGCTTTCTGCAAACTGGACAGAAAACATCCTGGCTCTCTATTCAGTAAATGGTTTTCACTGCAAGTCAAGGCAAACTGAAAATTCCTGCCCCATCTGCCTGCTAGGTGGCCTTCCTGCATCTGCTGCCACATCCCTTTCTAGCCAACTGCTCCGTCTAGACGGAAGCCACCCAGTATGAAAGTCTGTCTCACCTGAGTCATCTCCATCTGCACTGTGCCTTGTGTACTGCATCAATTATTAGCTCAGAGGTCAAGAGGAACTGACTCACGCAACATTAGTGGATGTTCACTAAGCCTTCTGTTGACTATGATGTTAGTAGACTTCTGACTTAAAGCTTGGCCATCTGAATGAACTCACTGCACCATGCTGGGTGCCGTGGGAGGATGCTTAGGCAACACAAATATCTTTATGAAGGGTCTCTACATATCTAAACCTGACCAGGTATTCATGCCACATACTCAAAAACTGGAAGGGACAAACAACAGACTTACTGAGTTGGGTCCCTTTCACAATAAACCATTTCCCTAATTTATTTAAATGAAAAGCATCATATTTAGGCCTTATGTATATGTATCTGTTTACAGTAAGAACACATTTAAAACAGAACAGAATACTGGCCAGGCATGGTGGCTAACACCTATAATCCCAACACTTTGGGAGGCTGAGATGGGCAGATCATGAGGTCAGGAGTTCAAGACCAGCCTGACCAACATGGTGAAATCATCTCTACTGAGAAAATTAGCTGGGCGTGGTGGTGCATGCCTGCAGTCCCAGCTACTCAGGAGGCTGAGGCAGGAGAATCGCTTGAACCCAGGAGGCGGAGGTTGCAGTGAGCTGAGATCGTGACACCGCACTGCAACCTGGGCGAAAGAGAGAGATTCCATCTTAAAAAAAAAAAAAAAAAAAAAAAAAAAGACAAAACAAAAAAACCAGAACAGAAAAACTCAACACATATACATAAAATTAACTCAGTGGATCATAAATACAAAATTTTCAAAATTCTGAAAGAAAATAAGAGAAATCTTTACACTTTGGGCTATGTGAAGATATCTCAGATCTAACAAAAGCATAATCTATGAAAGAATAAACTGATAAACTGGACTTCACACGGAAGTCAAGTGAAATGTAGAAATGTTTACACAAAAACCTGTATGCCAATGTTTACAGCAGTTTATTAATAACCCCCCAAAGCTGGCAACAACCCAAAAGTTCCTTTAACTGGGGAATGGATAAGCAAGCTCTGGTACAGCCACACGATGGAACACCATTTGGCAATGAAAAAGAACCTGCAATGTCCTCGAACCTCAAATGCCTCATGCTAAGTGAAAGCAGCCAGACTCCAAGGTGACATATTATATGATTCCATTTAGATGACACCGTCAAAAAGGCAACTATAGAAACAGAAAAGAGATCAACCTGCCAGGGGCTGGAAGAGGGGTTGAATATAAAGGATTTGAGAAGATAAAGAAACTCTTCTGTGTGTTAACTGTCGTAAATAAACAGTATGTGTTTGTCACAATTTCAACTATACATTTTTTAAAAAGTAACTTATGATATATGTAAATGATACCTTAATAAAGATGAAACCAATAAAATCCATATAGACGGATTCCATCCGCAAAGGTGATTATGCTAAAACACTAGAGCAATAACCTCAATGTCAACAGGGGTGGTGGTGGTGAAATAAGTAGGGTATCCACAATGGAATATTTCCACCCATTAAGCCCATTTTCTTCCCCCGAATGTGGTGACATTTAACAATGCTCATGCTATGTATCTGGCGAATAAAACCATATTCAAATGGGGCCTCACGAACACACACACACACACACACAAATGCACATGTGCTTACCCATGCTGGGGACGTCTGCCTGCTGCTTTCTCCTGCTCTGTCTCCAGGTCCTTCTGTCCCGCTTCGATCTGAGCCCTTCAGATGAGCACTGCCCGTCCATCTGTACATGCTGGCCATGGGGACAGATTCTGCAGGTGACACCAGACTTGACAAGGCGGTAGGTGAGGCTGGGTGATACGGATTTGTGTGCAGGTTTTAAAACAGGATTATAAAGCAGCATGAAACTAGAAAACTGGGCAAACAGACCAAACCAGTACTTTATTTTAAAAAGTTTTATTTTGCAGATTAAGAAATTTGAGATTTTTAATAACGGCAAAAGAAATTCAGTCACACCTAATGATTAACAGAATGTAGTGGTGTATTTATCTAAACAGAAATCGTGCTGATGTGCCATAATAAATTGTCTATTAGTAAAAAAATACACTTTAGGGCACAGCATTGTATCACAAATTACAGTAGGGATACTTTGCAAGAATTTAATCAAACTAGAGAATTCTGAGTAACTGTATCTTTTAAATGCAGCACTTAAAAATGTAACAACTCTGTGCATTCTTTTTCTTAAAAAAAAATGACCTTGCATGTGTCATAGAAATGCTGCTTTATTGCTGCAGAGGTCAAAGTTCAAGGCTCAAGAGGTACAGGAGAGAATACAAAGGTAGCCTTTAGAAACTTGGTTTTGTTTATGTATAAAAAAGGTAAAGTTTATAAAAGTTAATTTACAAACCAAGAACAAAAGTGGTATGCACGCATTATGTACAAGCTTCCTTAAAACATCAAAATTTTCAAATGCATAGCCAGAAAGAACAGAGAACAACCACTGCCTCTTGTTGTTTAAAAAAAAACAGAAACAAAAACAAAAAACCCCAAATCACACCACTATTTTCTTCTGGGTGATAACACGTTTCTGAAACCACCAAATGCACGATTTACTCAGTCTTTGTCATGATACAGTATCTAGATAATGCACAAAAGCCATAAAAACTTAGTAACACACACCAAGAATGAGCTAGGAATTCAGAACATGAGGGTAAGGCATTCCTGCTGGTTAGTATGTCTGTGGTGACATGGTTACATTACAGATCCGAAGAGGCCATGGACCCAGTCTCACATGCTTTTGTGTCCTTCTCTAAGACCAATGTGTTTGCATATACAGTGAGTCATGGTCTTCACTTCACCCTCCCCCAGTTATCAAGCCCCTTGCTGTACATTTCTGTTAAATCCACAACACTGCTAACATATTCCAGGTGCATTTAAAAAATGTGTGCATATTACTTCATGCATAATAAAATAAAATGTGTATGTATGCTAGGCCAGGGCCATAATAAAGTTTGAAACAGTGTACTTTGGAAAGAACCGAACTCAACTGCACCCCCATTTACTGGCTGGTATTTTAACGGAAATCAGTATGTGAGGTTAAGCAGTGATGCTAAAAAAAAATTACAAAAATCACAAAGCAAAATATCTTTGAACCTCTAGCCAATACCAGCAGTACTGTCAATCACAAACATGCAGTGTGCAGCATGTTTTCTGACCATGGTTCGGGGCATGCTCACTAATCTTTATCAGTTCAAATAAATGCTTAATACTAACAAATTGTAGTATCAATTCTAAAAAAGGTGTAATACTTGATAGAGTGGTTCCATTTAGATTTAGTAAGTTTGACCCAATTTCACATTATTTAATCAAGTTCCTGTATTTCAAGAGTTAAAAGTGGTCAATAAGGACAGAAACACAGTTTGCTCCAACGAGATAATTTGGATCTCCGGGAAGACACTTGTTTTGCCAGGTTTTAGGATCACCTATGAGAGAAAAAAAGGTATCATTTACACTTGAGTAACCTGCTATCTGTAATGCTTTGCAATTATGGAGCAAATACTTATATTTAGATATAATTTTCTTGTATTTCCTCAGCATATTGTATTTATATCAAAACTCATTGCTTTATTTCAATGCAGACCTGCTGGCATCTTAACAATTTCGAAGGTGCTTCACACTTCTTGTATTGAAAAAATATATATTTATAACTTTCTTTCCAACTGACACCCTCACACCATTAAGTTGTTTTTTTTTTTTAACTTTCAGACTTCTCCTTTATGACATTATCAAGTGCATTATTAGACTTTTCTAAACACAAATAAAGTGAGTGACAGCAATCATATGCCTGAGACAGTCCCAGTCTGCCCCTGAGCCCACATAATTATCAGTAGCATTTTTTTTTTCACTTTCAAAAGTCTGGAGAATAATTATATGACCACCTATTTGAGCTGAGAATGAGGACACATTTCTCACACTCAACTATAGACCAACAAATGAAACCTAGTTCTCCAGAATCTAGTTCCTGAAGCCTGTCTTCCCCCTTACAAAAAACAAACAAAAAACCAACTGCGCCAGAGTTGCTCAGCTGATTCCAGCTGTACGACAAAACTGATCACACAGCTTCAGACACTCACTCACCGTGTGTTAGGTCTCAGGATCTGAGTTTTTAGTAAGCTCTTAGTGATTTCTATAAAATGTGACGAAGGCAGGGATGACTGTATATCTCTGTGGTATCCAAGCAAGCAGAGAGTCACAACTGTGGACTTTTGCTTCCCTTATAACAGTAGCTCTCCAACAGGCACGACCCTGCCCCTAATGGGACATCTGGAGACAGTTTTGCTTGTTACCACTGGCATCTAGGGATAGAGGCCAGGGAAGCTGCTAAATATCCCACAGCGGACAGGAGAGCCCCTACAACAATCATTTGACCAAAATGTCAACAGTGCCAGCTCAGAACCCTGCCTACAGCTGGACACCCTAAGCAATATCTGGAATCAAAAGCCTTTCATTTTTCCAGAAAATGGGCTACTTGTAAATATGAGGGAATACGTATTTACAAGTAATTTTTCTCTTTGTTAACATTAAAATATGTTCTTGCTATAATCTTTATACCACAAACTTTTATTTCATACTGTACCAAACTAAAACTAAATAATGCTCATCTGATTTCTCAAAGATTTAGAAGCAGTACTTAAAATCAGGCTCACTTAAAGTGATGTATACCCAAAATAAAATTCCAATTGTTAACTGACTTAAATCACTCAAGGAAGTGAGAAATGCGAAAATGCAATGGAAGCTTTGAAATTATGATCTTAGGAGCAAAAAGTCATTTACAAATAGTGTATAAAAGAAGTTATTTAGAGTATTACACTGAAAAACCATGGCCAAGTATGATCACAATGGAAGATCTTTTAAGTTTCTCTGGTATACATACTTTGCAGATTAAGAAATTAAACAGGCCGGGCACAGCGGCTCATGGCTGTAATCCCAGCACTCTGGGAGGCTGGGGCGGGCGAATCACTTGAAGTCAGGAGTTCAAGACCAGCCTGGCCAACATGGTGAAACCGTGTCTCTACTAAAAGTACAAAAATTAACCAGGCGTGGTGGCAAGCATCTATAATCCCAGCTACTCAGGAGGCTGAGGCAGAAGAATCACTTGAACCCGTTAGGCAAAGGTATGCAGTGAGCCAAGATCGTGTCACTGCATTCCAACCTGGGTGAAAGAGTGAGACTCCATCTCAAAAAAAAAAAGCAAACAACAACAACAAAAAAAACAAAAATAGAAAACTTATATAAAGGAATGAAATCATTTTAACAAGAAGATAAAAATGCCTACATGTGCAGGACAGTAACAGTTCTCCCAGTGAATCTTCAAAAATTTGACAGAATAAATCTTTTTGCTGAACACCAAGGAATAGTCTATATTTGGCCAAATTATTGATTTTCAAAAGGCAGAAACTCTTCTACATTTCCATATTTATTTACAATATATGTACCACAAATAAATGTGAAAACACTGGTGATGCCTACAAGGCCACAGGAATAGAGGTAGAGAATTGCTAACATACAGCATGGGTAGCATCAGCAGCCCAGGGATTAATCAACGACAGTCCCCAAAGCCCCCAAAGGACAGAGTGAAGACAGCATACCCGACGAGGAGTCGGATGATTTTAGAGCAAAAGACCAACCGTCAGGAGTCATGGACGCACAGTGTGGTAAACGCAGCTCCACCGGCTTCAGGAACTTGAGGCCATGGGGCCCACACATCACCAAGGGACTCAGCAGGGTTTCACCTGGAGTTGGCAAAGGGGATGGGCAGAGAGGTTGGATGTGGTCTGTCTTCTAGACCCATAGTTTTCCTCACCCTGCTTCTAATCAGACACTCAAGCCTAATGGAGTTAGTTCTCTACAGTCGCACTGACCATAAAAAATTTAACAGCAGCCACTTAACAGAATTTAAAATTTAACAGTAGCCACATTAGAAAGAAACAGGTGACATCAAATATTACAATATTTTAGTATTTTATTTAACTCAATATAACCAAAACACTGTTATTTCAACATGTAACCAATGTATGAAATCTTTGGAACTTGGTGTGTATTTCACATTTTCAGCATCTTTGAATCCAAAACTGTCACACTTCAGGTACTAGCTAGCCATATGCAGGTAGTGGCTATTGCATTCAATCATACAGGTCTATAGCATAAAACATATTAAAATGTGCTTTTTACAAAAGTGACATATTTTCCATTTTTAAAATGTTTTGTTTGCTACAGAGGTGATTAAAGGGATTCATGCAGTGCAGACTGTCAATCCTACTGATTTTTAAAACAGGATATCCCCAAAATCAGAGTACAGAATCAGATGTCAGTATTCTGGCAAAATATAAGAAAGCAAACTAAAGTTAATGTATTTCGGAAAGTGAAAGCACTGCTAAAAGATGCTAAGGGAAATAACGACACAGTTCATTATAATATCCTCACAGATCCAGGAGGATCATGAAAATAAGTTTCCTTAAGAAGCTCAGACGCATACTGCAGTCTCCTCTCAGACTCACTCACGCCCTCTGCGGACAGCTGACTAGTCTAGGTTCTGAGGTGATGAGGGGGACAGGACCTGTCCAGAGGGTTAGGTTCTCCAATCAGGTGAAGGCACGGGAAAGCCTTTCTGAGTGGGTATTACCTAACCCATCTCCAGAGATGCAAAGGCTGACTGATTCAAAGACAAATTTTGGTTAGGTCAGCCCAGCAGTCACAAGTGAGGGACATCCCATTGCCTGTCCCATGCCATCCTTTTTTATTTCACACCAAAAGTAAAAGTAGGCAGTGTGGTTACAACAGCCTTGCTTCTGGCCACCTACTGCCACTAGCGACACTGTCCCCAGGGCACCCCTCGCTATAGCACTCATCTGAGAGGACCTCCCTGATGAAAGGAACATGCTGCTAGTGGCCCAGCATGGAGGCAGAGAGAGGTACTGCGTTACCCGCTTAGCCAAGCACTATAAGCTCGGAAGCACAGAGGGCAACTCTTAAGTTATCAAAACTAAGGAGAAATGTAAACACATTTACCTTTCTCTTTATCTAAAGGTGGGAGGATGCTGTTGTCTCGGCAGACCTTGAAATAGATTTCCTGCTCAACTCCTTCGGGAATGGCTCCTTGAGGGATAATTATACTAACACCAGTTTCTATGGAACTCAGCACGCCACCATTGCTGTTAAATATGCCTCGGGCTGTGGCCACCACAGTATGACCATCTTCATCTTCATCCTCTTCCACAGCTGAAGGACTGAAAGTTCAGAAATGGCCAGTGAGTGAAATCCTAAGAATACACAGGTGCTCTGCTTTTACTACTATTGTATTACATGATTTCATTTTACTTTTATTTCTCCATATAATAAGGAAGGTACTTACTTTAACAAGGTAAGTTTTTAGCAATAAATTTTACTGACAGGATTATTTCAGAGAATATTATTTCTAGAGAAATTCCATTCTAGAAAAATTTCAAAAACTCTAGAGAAACTTCAAAAATTCAATTTGAATTGCAACCTGAATGTATAAAACCTGATACCAGCCAGGCATGATGGCTCACAAGGTCAGGAGATCAAGATCATCCTGGATAACACGGTGAAAACTTGTCTCTATGAAAAATACAAAAAATTAGCTGAGCATGGTGGCACGTGCCTATAGTCCCAGCTACTCAGGAAGCTCTGAGGCAGGAGAATTGCTTGAACCTGGGAGGTGGAGGTTCCAGTGAGCCAAAACTGTGCTACTGCACTCCAGTGTGAGTGCAAGAGAGAGACTCAGTCTAAAAAAACACACACACATACACACACACAAAACCTAATACCTTGCACACCCAATTACTGATGAAACATCCCTAATGTGAAAAGCTCCAAAATCTGAAACTTGTTGAGTGTCAAAATGAAGCTCAAAGGAAATACTCATTGGAGCATTTTGGCAAATATTCCAAAACCCCAAAAAATCCAAGATCTGAAACACTTCGGATCTCAAGCAATCTGGACAAAGGATATTTAAAGAGGTACTCTGAGTTTTATGAAGCACATTTTAAAATCCATGGAATTGCTGCTTTAAAACTAGTAAGTCACAATTTAATAGGCAGTACTGTTCTTCCCTTCATGGTCTCTCTGTATCCCAGGCTGGAGTACAGTGGTGTGATGTTGGCTTACTGCAACCTCCACCTCCCAGGTTCAAGCAATTCTCCTGCCTCAGCTTCTGAGTAGCTGAGATTACAGGCACCCGCCACCATGCCGGGCTAATATTTGTATTTTTAGCAGAGACAGGGTTTCACCATGTTGGCCAGGCTGGTCTCGAACTCCTGACTTCCAATGACCTGCATGCCTCAGCCTCTCCAAGTGCTGGGATTACAGGCACGAGCCACTGTGCCTGGCTGTTCTTCCCTTCTTAATGACACAAAACAATGATACGTCTCCCATATGACAGCATCTCAGACTTGATAAAATCTCCCTAGGATTTTAAGTGTGCATGAGAATTGTCCTGCCTCAAGGTTCCCTGAGGTGAAGACCCTGGTATGGGCACATCCCAAACATCCATGAAAGAAAGACAGTAGATTAACTTTGTAATCACAGAACATCAAAGACAAAGGGGATGTGGTATCCATGACTGCTTCAAAAACAGAGGCTATCAAGACTTCCTGAAGTATAGTTTTGAGCCAGGGCTTAAAGGTGAGCAAAAAGACCAGCAAAACAATTACATGAAGGTAGCTGCAGCTTTGCTCCAGCATGACCGGAATGCCAGGGATGACATCCTATGGCACAAGAGCAAGGGAGCAGACTGCAGCCTGAGCTGTACAGCAGGGGCAACTGTGTCCGTCCCTGACCACCTGTGGATGTGCAAAACAAGGACAGCAGTGACCGCCATAACCTCCTCTCTCGTGGAAAGCAGACTTCAGGTGGCTGTCCTGACCTTTGGTTCTGCCTGCCTGCAAGTGCTTCTGCTTTATGGTGGCGTCAAAACGGAACTGGCTATAGGAGGATGAGATGAGCTTATGTGTGGCCAGATGCATCTGGTCAATCACTGTGGAATGAAAGACAGGAAAGAGGATCTGCAGGGAGGCTCCAGGAGCACTCGCTTTGCCTCCTTTGCTCAGCCATTTTACTACTAACTGCTACTCTTTAAACAGTCAGAGGTTATTCTATCTTTATTTCTCTTTAGCATTGCTGTGGAACAAATAATGAATGAGAAACACAGACGCTTAACATTTTTAGATGCTCTCCACATTCACCTTACCAGTGGGTCAGGAGGTTACAGGAGGCCATGGGTGGTTAAGAGTATGGGCTCTCAGCTGGGCATGGTAGCTCACACCTGTAATCCCAGCACTTTGGGAGGCTGAGGTGGGCAGATCACTTGAGCCCAGGAGTTCAAGACCAGTCTGGGCAGCATGGCAAAACCCTGCCTCTACTAAAAATACAAAATTTAGCTTGGCATGGTGGCACATGCCTGTAGTCCCAGCTACTTGGGAGGCTGAGGCACAAGAATTGCTTGAACTCAGGAAGCAGAAGCTGCAGAGAGCTGAGATTGCACCACTGCACTCTAGCCTGGCAGCACAGGGGCGGTGGTTCACGTCTGTAATCCTAACACTTTGGGAGGCCAAGATGGGTGGATCACTTGAGGTCAGGAGTTCAAAACCAGGCTGGCTAACATGGTGAAAAAAAAAATACAAAAAAATTAGCAAGGCGTGGTGGCGCATGCCTGTAATCCCAGCTACTCGGGAGGGTGAGGCAGGAGAAGCGCCTGAACCCAGGAAGCAGAGGTTGCAATGAGCCGAGATTGTGCCACTGCACTCCAGCCTGGGTGACAGAGTGAGACTCAGTCACAGAAAAAGAAAAAAAAAAAAAAAGGCATGGGCTCATAGGCTGGATGACCAGTGGCTGAATCAGGGCTCACCTCACTCTAGCTGTGTGACCCTGGGCAAACTGCTGTCATTCAACCTCAGTTCTTAGTCAAAGAGGGATGGTGACAGTGCCTACTAACCACACGCTGACTGTTAGCTGTATGATTTCACCAACATCTCGCACCTCCTGGAAGACCTTCTATTAAAAGCATTCGTTTCATTTCAACAACACTCTTCAGTTTAAAGGCTGAGTTAAAATGATCCCTTCAAAGTCCCAAGTCAAATAAACTACAACAAGCTGACATGAGAAAAATCATAGTGCCAATGCTTTGAGCAAAGGCAAAAGTCTTACCTCACAGGAATAGCTTTTGGCACTGTGCTGGTATTATTTATTTGGTATTTAGGCTTCTCTGCATGGATAGAGAAAGTTTCAACTCCACTGTCAAACTCAGGAGGCTGTGCCAAACTGTGTGATTTCACAAGAGTTTTTGGAGAAGTGGAAGATTTTGAAGACAAGTCAGGTTTATGTGCAGTTTCACTTGGCAGAAGATTGTGATTGAATTTAGGACTTTCAAACTTGCGTTCAAATGGTCGGGCAGAACTTGTATATGGTTTTGGTGTGAATCGATTGTATGCTGGAGTGACTGTTTTCTGAGTCTGTTCAGCTCCATTAACTGGAGCTTTATCTGGAAAACTTTTCTGGGGATAGAAAGCTGGCTGAGCAGTTTCTTCTCGGTTTGGTGGTCTGAAAGTTGCTGGCTTATTCTGAGATGGAGGTGGGTCTGGTTTGGACACTAAGGAATTCTGAAAATCCAATGACACTGGATTTCCTGAAAAATGAACATATAAGCATTTTAAAAACTCTCTGAAAAACAGCTTAACTTGTCCTGGTGCTGGAGTCAAGGCCCAAGTGTGGGTCGCAGAGCCAGAGCCTGACTCTTAAGCGCTGGAGGCAAGCTGTGATGCTAAGGGATGAGGGCAGCATGGACATGTGGTGCCATGAGTACACCCTGTGCTGAAGTCAGGGTCCAGCTGTTAAGATTCCTGGCTCCAGAGACTGGCACTAGTCTCTGTGAAAACCAAAATGTCTAGTAATCATATAATAAATATACCCACTATTCATTAGGAAAATGTTAAACAAAACCAACAAAAAACATTAAATATTATTTAACATCCACGAGAAAGAAAAAAACCGGAAAGTCTGATGATGCCAAGTGTTGGCTCAGTAGTGGAACCACAGGATTTTCTATGCACTGCCAGAGGCTGTGTAACATAGCACCAACTGAACTCTGTGAAATAATTAAGGACACTACAAGACAAAAATTACGAATCCAGATTCCTCATCAACATAGTAACATAATTTACCATGGCACAAGAAGAAAAATCATATGGTCATCTTAATACATGCAGGAAAACACCTGACAAACTCCTTTCAGCAAACTAAATAGGGAATGTCCTGAACATGACAAAAGACATCTATGAAAATTCTACAGCTAACATTGTAAAGGTAAAACATGAAGTCCTTTCTCCTTAAGATTGGGAACTAGCAAAAGAGGTCCAATTTCACCGCTTCTATTCCACAGTTCACCGGAGGTCCTGGCCAGTGCAATCAGCAAGAAAAGAAAGAAGGCCAGGTGCAGTGCTCACACCTGCAATCCCAGCACTCTAGAAGGCCAGGTGCAGTGCTCACACCTGCAATCCCAGCACTCTGAAAGGCCGAAGTGGCGGATCACTTGAGGCCAGGAGTTTGAGACCAGCCTGGCCAACATGGTGAAACCCTGTCTCTATGAAAAATACAGAAATTAGCCAGGTGTGGTTGTGGGCACCTGTTGTCCCAGCTACTTGGGAGGCTGAGGCAGAAGAATCACTTGAACCTGGGAGGCGGAGGTTGCAGTGAGCCAAGATTGAGCCACTGCACCCTAGCCTGGTTGAGAGTGAGGCTTCGTTTCAAAAAAAGAAAAAAAAGAAAAGGCATAAAGACTGCAAAGTAAGAATTAAAACTGTCTTTAAACTGTCTTTATCTGTAAACGTAATTGTGTGTGAAAAAAAAAAGTCTCAAGCCAGAACTACAACATGTCCGGTTCAAGACTCACAAGCCCTGGAAGGTGCCTCCTACGGGAAGAGACACGTCTGTGCTAGGAAAGTGTTTGTCAACAGGAGAGAGAAACACTCTTGTGTTACACTCTGAGGGTAAAATGTTACACAGCTCTTAAGATGAGTAAATTGGAGGTATACATTAACTACCTGGTATGTAAGTGCAAAAGGCAAGGTGCTGTGGGATACATTTTATGTGAAACATTACAGCTTTTCTATGTCAGTGTGTGAAGATAAAATACAACAATAGTTTTTACAAACCATCTTTAGATACACTGGCAAGCACTAAAGATTTAGAGACTAGCATAAAATAGATTAAAATCTGTTTAGCTAAAAGGCTGTCCAAAATAATGGTCCTAATTGTAAAAATAGAAGACATACTTTTAACAAAATTCTTAGTTTTCACTGTTCCCAGCCCAAAGGTTTCAAGCATATATTTTTTCATGTAAAAAACTTTTTGCCTAGAAACCACCAGAATTTTATTCATAAGCATTACTGTGTTATAATGTCTACTTGCAAACTTCCTACCTTCACCATGTGCTCCCTTAGAATGTATGTGGAGAGATGTGCTGGTGACAGGCTGAGGCGGCTGAGTGTACTGCGAAGGCAATGGAGGAGGCGGGGGAGTGGCCTGGATGGGTTCATAGCGTTTCTCACCAAATGATCTATCCACAACATCGGCTTCAGCAGGCTTTCCCCTGTTAACAAATGAGGAGAGTGCCAACACCTGAAAATGGACTCACATTTACAAAACAAGTTTCATTTCTCCATGTAGCTCTAAGTTAAAAAATTTAGAAATTTCCTATTTATTCTCATAAGTGTGGGTAGCTACTCTACTGAAATATAAGAACAGATTCAACCATTTATCGGCACAAATGTTCAGACAGCACAAATACTTTAAGAATATTAGTAAAACATCCAGAAGATGGCAACCAAAGGCAGGTGAAATTTTGGGTATATTTTAATATTTGTTATTTACAAAAAGTAGTAACGTTGATAAGAAAGTCTTGCAAATATTCTGAAAACATATCATGGCACAAATTTTCCTGAGACCCACTTTTTTTTTTTTTGGAGATAGGGTCTCATTCTGTCGCCCAGACTGGAGTGCAGTGGCGTGATCTTGGCTCACTGCAACCTCTGCCTCCCAGGCTCAAGAGATTCTCCTTCCTCAGCCTCCCAAGTAGCTGGGATTATAGGTGGGTGCCACTACACCCTGGCAAATTTTTGTGTTTTTTAGTAGAGACAAAGTTTCACCATGTTGGCCAGGCTGTTCTTGAACTCCTGACCTCAAATGATCCACCCGCCTCAGCCTCCCAAAGTGCTGGGATTACAGGCGTGAGCCACCGCGCCTGGCCCTAGACCCGCTTTTGTTTTTGTATCTGGCATCTGGCATACTTGCAGCACCATAAAACCAGATGTCACAGACTAGTGGTTGGCAAATGTTTTCACTGAAGCACCAGAGAGTAAATGTTTTTGGTTTTTTGGCCATACAGCCTTTGTCACAACTATTCAAACTATGCTGTTATAGCCTCAAAGTAGCCACAAACAAGGGGCGTATCTGTGTTTCAGAAAAACTAAAAAAACTGGACCTTTTACTTCAAAATTTCCCCTTGAGTTACCAGGTCCATTTTTTGGTTAAACGACTGCTAGAGCAGCAGATACTGTTTTATTTCACAAGGTTCATTTAAGTCAAATTGTGCCACGTATGTGTATTTTTCCAGATTGCCAATTGTTAATATGTAACACAAAATTCACACAGATCTTTTTAAAAGACCCATAATTGCAACATTGCCATCTAAACCTTACTGCTGAATGCCAAAGCTACACTAGCTTTATGTGCACAAACAAAAGCATATAGACTTGGAATGCCCCTGCTCATTTTCATAATTTTTCTTTGAAGAAGTCTAATCTTATGATTAGCTTTTTAATCTTGCTTTCATGAATTTAGACTAAGCACCTGATGATGACATTAAAATCTGAAAGTGCACATAATGCCAATGACACAGTGAGGGACACCTTATGTAACAGCCTCACATTAATTGCCAGTCTTACCACTTGACGTTCCTTTTCAAGTAGTCATAGCTAGTGTAAGAGCCAAGAAATCTAGGTGATGGCAAAGCAAGCGCAACAGAAAAATGAAAGAAAATGGTCAATCTAACTAAGTAAATTTGCAGCAAATGGTACTCAAAATGTCATTTAAAAAATCTTACCAGCATCCACCATTTCACCATAATTTGGTCTATATAAAAGAACATTTCACTAACTCTCATTTGGCCGAGAAAATGAAAGATAAATGCCCTGTCTGCTGGCCCACCCTCTGTACTTTAACCGGTACTGCAGTGAAGAGCAGTGTGCTTGAGCTTTGCTCCTTCTCTATCTCTGATTGCAGCTGCTAATAGTGAGCAAAGAAATTGATCAAATCAAAGAGTGGTGACCAAGTGGGAGTGAAATGTCCCGTTTAAAAAAAAAAAAAAAAAAAAAGGCTGGGCAAAAGAAATTCTGCAAGTGAAGACACAGGAAAAAGTAATACAACAGCAGAGCTACAGTGAGCCCCTGGAAGGGGAATGGTAAATGAGCCAATGAAAACATGAACCTGACCAGACTTCACTTGCTCCTTTCTAGCAAGACCTCCACCATCTCCAATTGTGAGCCGGGCCCTGTGGTGGCGGAATCTTACTGGTGAAGCTGCAGGCTTGATGCTCAGTCTCCCTCTCATCTAATGATGTCTCACAAACACAAAAACAACTGGACATCAGTGTATTACATTTAATTCTTTTTTTTCTTTTAGATGGAGTTTCGCTCTTCTTACCCAGGCTGGAGTGCAATGGCACGATCTCGGCTCACCGCAACCTCCGCCTCCTGTGTTTAGGCAATTCTCCTGCCTCAGCCTCCTGAGTAGCTGGGATTACAGGCACGTGCCACCATGCCCAGCTAATTTTTTGTATTTTTAGTAGAGACATGTTTTCACCATGTTGACCAGGATGGTCTCGATCTCTTGACCTCGTGATTCACCCGCCTCGGCCTCCCAAAGTGCTGGGATTACAGGTGTGAGCCACCGCGCCTGGCCTACATTTAATTCTTTAAAAGCTAAAAACCATCATTATTTATTGAGACCTGGAAGTCTCACATAGTGAGTTGAGTCCTGAAAGGTAGATTTGATTAACAAAAAAAATCCCTGGTTGTCCTGACAATAGTTGACCCAATCTCTGGGCTGAGATGTGTACACCGACCTGGAGGGACATTGCTCTTCTCCCTCTGCCTTAGAATCCTTAAAAACTTCTAATTTACTTTGGAGGTGAAATATCTGAGCTACTGTCTCCTAACCTTTCCAGTTCTAATCCAGCTCTAGGGAACTAAAAGACTGGGTAATAGCAGCTTGCTTCCTGGGGCATTTGTCTTGTGCTAACAAAGATATTTCCCTTCCCCCATTCTCACCATTTCTGAGGTGTGTTTTTAAGTGATGCATGAGCACATCATCTGGAGGAATACAATTTTGCTATTCCTGTATTTTACTGAAAGAAAAAAAAGAATGCAATGCCTGCAGGCAGTCTACTTAGTAACAAACAGTAAGTGGTTTTGAAATGTAGGAGACAGTCCTGCAGTTTATGCTGTTTTCCAGTTGATGAAGTTGTACTCATTGGACAAGAGGGTGAAAAAGCATTACAAGGGAAAGGCACAGAAACAACTTCCCTCTTAAGTTTTCTTCAGTGACCTTATTCTCCTTTCCAATTCTCTAACCATTAAATACCTATATGGAAACATGTAGCACAATTATAAAGAGTTTCAATTTCATACTACAAAGGAAAAAAATGTATACTGGTATCCATCCCAAATTATACTTTTACTCACAGCAGTAGGGAGTAAAAAAATCAAACTGAGTTCTGAGTAAATTCACAAAGACAGATGTCATCATTTCACAATATATCCCTGTGAAAACAATGACCAGATAATACAGGTTCCTCCCAGAGCTGTTTTAATGAAAAGGAGGTTGGTGGATGTACCTACTACACCATTGCCCTGTTCTGAGCTTCATTCACTCAACAACTATTGACCCCTACTGAATGCAAGGGCAATGCTCTACACCCTGAATGAAGTTATATATCACAAAAGAGCTAGGTCTTCTCTCTAGAAAAACAAATTAACACAAAAAGCAAACATGTATTTATTTGATTCCCTGGCAAAACAACTTACTTTTTTAGACCTAATCTATTTAAGGTTGTATTCTACTTACCAAGCAGGTAAAAGGATAAAATAGCTCTTTAAACTACACCCCTAAGCCGCCTTCTGACAGGAATGAATGTATTTAATGGTGTTTAGTAAAAATAATGACTAAAGAGTACACTCTTCTGTCTTACCAAAGCTGAGTTCCTAAGGCTCAGTGCCCAGCTCACTTTAGGCTAGACACCATTTAGATGCTACTGTGATAACTGTGTAAATGAATTCCTGTAATCCTGTAAATGTAAATGAATTCCTTGTAACAAATCCATATCTGCTTTTGTTCTTGTGGGTTTTGTTCTGTTGAGGTATGAACCCAGCTGTGTGCCTGTGTGGGTTTATACAGTGCCTGGCTGACTTCAGTCTAGATGACATCTAGATGCCACAACACCTTTCTAGCGATGTGCTAAGGGGTGGTTTACAGAGTGTAAGATACTATTTGCTTTAATATAACCCCCACTGCAGCAGTCTAAATTTGCATTTGTATTCTCATAAACTGCCTTCTTCTGTAAACATACAGCCTTGAACATAGGACAGTGAAAAAAATGTGTTAAGTCTTCACTTCAAATGACGTCTTAGAAAAAAAGCAGTGCTAATTAAAATTAGGCTTTAATGTTAGTGGTTTTAAAGTATGTCCTAAAACAATTTTCACTCAATGGTAAATGACAAGTAAGTCATTTCCCAAGATAATCCCAAGCCCACACAACTAATTTAGGAAAAAGCCAGAGGCTTTTAATCTAGACACAGTATTATGTATGATGACTTTGTGTCAATCTGGCTAGGTACTGCCATCAAAGGATTCTTGAGGTGTAATGTCCCACATCAGTTGAGGGAAATGATCTTGGGTGGGCCTGGCCTAATCACAGAGCGGTCTGAATGAGAAGGTAGGCATTCCCTGACCTCAGACTTCCCAGGAGCTCGAGATCTTCCCTTCCTGACCAACTGTCCTCTGATGTAGGACTTGCGTAGCCAGCCCCTGTAACTGTATAAATGAATTCTTTTTGACAAATCCACATCTGTTTTTGCTCTTGTGGGTTATTTTCTGTTGAGGTATGAATCTATCTGTGTGCCTGTGTGGGCTTAGACGCAACTGTCTACCAAATTCTCTTATCAGCCACGTGGCTTCACTTGATGTTTCTGAGGTTCTGGGATCCTAACAGGTAATGAATGACAAATGGAACAACTTTTTAGATATTAATGTTATGAAGAAAGTGGAATATGTAAGTCTTATCTTGACCAAAATGTCAATAACCAGAGACACAGAACCAGCAGGAGACACAAATCCACGTAGGCATAAGAAAGAAAGAGCAAACCAACATGAAACCCAGGGACAAGTAAACAGAGGGGAGCAGCAGGCACAGGGAAAAGATGACTGGGAGTCATGAAACTTGGGGTTCAGTCCCAGCTCTGCCCTCACCTGTAAAACTGGATCAAAAATCTCACCCCGCCCCTCCCGCCCCCCCAAAAAAGCTCTTTTTTGCCTTGAGAAAAACAAAAAACACAAAAAACAAACCAGTTTGTATTTCACTCAGACACGGTCCTCCTCACATCTGTTTTTATATTTAACAAATAAAAATAGAAAAGAAGGAAAAGAACCAGCATGAAGTCATTAGGTGTGTGTACAGAAATGAAGACTGATGACTGCCTAGTGCTGAGGGTCCTTGCCGTTGACACTGTCTTCTATCAAAACTCTGTGACGTTAGCATCTTTTGTGAATGCAAAAAATGTGTACATCTAATAGCAGACTTTAAAAACAAAACACACATCCCAGAATTAAAAAGCATGTACAATGCTGAACCACTAGAACCTACGGAAATCATGTATTACACTTAAACTATTTTTCTTCAAAATATATTGGACTTCACAATTAATATGCTGCATCCTATTTTTAAAAGCCAGGTGAAGTAACTTACTTTGAAGAATAACTAGAAAAATTTGATTGATTCTGAGAATGAGCTGGCTTTGCAGGCTCAGAGAGATGGCTGGCAGCAATGTGTGCAGGAGGCTTATTTTCAAAACTTCTTCGGTCAAAGTACGAGAGCTGTTTTCGATAATATTCTTCATCTTCTTCAGGGTCATAATGATTTGACCGAACGATATCTTCAGGTGGCTTCACTTGAGGTTTCTGAGGTTCTGGGATCCTAACAGATAATGAATGACAAATGGAACAACTTTTTAGATATTAATGTGATGAAGGAAGTGGAATATGTGTCTTATCTTGACCAAAAGGTCAATAATCACTAACTGCTGTGATTATTCAGGATCTAACTGAGCAGTCCAACAGTTAAAATAGGTATTTCGAATCCCATGTCCTCAAAAAGCAAACTCAGAGGCAGCTGCCTTCTGGCTCATGAGTCCTTCAATAACCTAAATGATTGTATGATTAGGGGGACAGCAGGGTAAAAGCAGTTATTACAAAGAGAAAGGGGAATGTAACCAAGACAGTGAAGAACATCTTGAGAAGTACATATACCAATGTCAAGAACAGTCAATGACAGACTTGAAGAACTTTAAATGGGATTTTTGAGAACTTCAGTCCAGGATCTCAATGATTTGCGTATGAGCAAATAACTCTATACTGTCTAAAGTTCTAGAAGGCACAGAAAGCAGATGTGGAAGAAAGCAAGTCATTAAGTAAATTCACATTAGAGAGGGTTATATTCCCACTCAGTTCCATGCCGCAGAGAGCACAAAGTGCACTGACCTGTACAGAGTTTTGTCATGTTCACTGAATTGATTCTGAGAAGTGGGTTTGGGACCAATGATGGGAGCACCTTGAGGTTTAGATGCTACTTCTGGAGGCTGTTAAAAAAAAAGACAAATATGCCTAAGGAACAGTTAACTACAGAATAGACGTCACGTAATGGGGGAGGGAAGAGCAAAGAAGCCCTTTAAATGAGTGTTCACTTAGTGTACCTTAAAACCAGCAGTGTCATTTACATCCTTCTTGGTCTCTAAGGATGCAGATCTTTTGTTTTCAAACATCTTCACTCTGGTGAGCACAGACTGTGGCTTCATTGCTGGGTCTTCTTCTTCTTCAGTTCGAGCTGGAGGTGGAGGCAGTGGTTTGGCATTTGAAGGCAGAGCTTCTGGCTTATGCTGAGATGAAGGTATCATCGGAGGGACAGCTGCAGCACCATGGAGAGGCTCAAAATGACCTGCTCTAGAGGCAAATCCTTGGGGTGGTACTTGGTCGTAACTGCGTGAGTATTGCTCAAAATACTGCTTGGGCTCTGTGGGTTTTGGCCCTGCCAAAGGGTAGGGCTGGGCTTCTGGTCTGTGTCTACCATGCGTGTCATACCCAGCAGCTGGCTGCTCTTCGTGCCGCAGGGCGGATGCTCTAGGGGCCTGTTCATAACGCGGTCTGCTATCATAGGACAGAGGGGCTGGCTCTTCAAAACGTGGAAAGTACCCTCGATCTGAGGACTCTTCGGGATGCTGTCTGGAGTCAAGGTCTCGAGAGTGCTGATTATCAAAAGATGGCCGAGATGGGAAAGGCTGTTTGTCATCATAATATGACCACTGTTCTTCATACATGGGGACACGATCTTCATATCGCAGACGATGGTCATAGTTTCGAGAAAACTGGTCCGTGTAGCTTGAGGACTCGTATCTGTATGTGGGCTGCTCAAGGTCTCTGCTGGCTTGTTTCTCTACGTATGGAAGTTGGGGTTCATAGGTCACATTAGGATCTTTGTCTGGCCTGTGCCCTGGGTGACCAACGGCTGGCTGTTTGAAAACATGGTTCTGCCGCATCATTTCCTCGGGATATGGATCCTTTCTATGCGCCTGTGTAAAAAATTCACATTTAAGGACAGTCTTGTTTTTAATTCTTTTTTATTAGACTATGTTTAAATATTAAACTATAATTTAATATGTGATAATGGTATGTTTTACCATTTATTATCAGGATAGACAAGATTAGTGGAAAAAGCTGGTTTAAGTGAAAGCTCAAAATTTATAATGCAGGTAGGGGCTATTACGTTTCAGCATGTACTAAATAAACAGTGAGTTAAAGATAAATATTAAATTTAGTAGAAAATTAATGCATTATTGATTACACTTCATTTTGACACTGAAAAATCCTAAAGAAAATTTATGAGCATCATAATTTGTATTAACAGAGTATGTTTATGATGGGTCTCAATTATATATTAGGGAATTCTGGAAGATACTGAAAGCCAAAAATAATAAAAATAAACATAATAAACACAAATCTCAATTAAAAGGCCTGTTTTCAAATAATCAGTATACCACTGGAAGCCATGCAAACTACAAAACTGAAATGATTCGACTGATTTGAAAGCATTACAGTGTATAAGCCTGCAGTAAAAAAGCAAAAGGAACACTTAAAGGGCAAAGCAAAAATGATCATGTGCCAGACTGATGGAGAGCAACAAATAGTACAACACTGCAGCACAGGTACCTTTGTTGGATCTACATGCGACGACAATGATGGTTCTTGATCTCTTAGCATTATGTGAGCTGCCTCAGTACTTGGTGTTCTTAAAGAATCAGCTTGTGGTGAGTAAGAGGTGGAAGGAGCTGGGGTGGGCTCCTCCAGTCTGACATTAGTTAAATTTACATTATGATTAACAGCAGAGGTTGATGATGCTGGGTTTGTTTCAGGCGAAAGGTAAGGGACTGGAGATGAAGCTTCTGCTTTCTGTGAAGTGTTTAAAATATTTTAAATATAGTGTTTCTGTTTACTGACTTCTCACTTCAATTTATAGTGATTGGTAAACATACATTTTAAGTGTGCTGAATAACAAAACTATGACCTCATGTCCTAAACTTTTTGGGAAAAAAAAAAATCCAGTACATTGCTGTGTAAGACAAACACACAAAATTTAGAATTAAGTCCTTGGTACTCTCAAATTGAAACTGAAGATTAATTCTTAATCTGGAGAAAGGACAACATATATATTTTTTAACTCAGTCACCACATTCTAAAATTTAATAATGCACCTCTATCTACAAAACGTTGAATGCTTGCTGCTTACCTGTTGAGAAGCTGGCTTAAATCCAGGGGAGTCTATTCTATGAATTGGTTGTGGCTGCGCTTGTGGTGAGTAAGGAGGATATGTTTGGTTTTCATGATGCATTCCAGAGGAGTCCTCTCTTACAGGCTCAGAGGACCGTGTAATGGCAGACTCCGGTGGAGTCCCAACCTCATCATTAAGAGTTTCATCTAGTTCTTGATCAGTGTAGGCCCCGCCTTCTGTGTCTGTGTCTTCATAGTCAGAAGTGTGTCTACTGTCCGTGCTATACATTGAGTATTCACTACCTGGGGCTGACAGGTAGGACAGACGATCATCATGCAAATCAAGGTCATCACTTGTAGCACCGTCCGCCTGGGTCAAATAAAAGTAAATTACAAATTTTATTCAGTAGTTCTTTAAGAGAAGGCCTTTATCGTACAAGGGAGATTGAAAAGGATTATCTTTCTCAGGAGAAGCCACATCTACTTCCTGAAACTTCTGGTACGGAAAAGTCAAGAAGATTGTACAAGCACACATACAGACATACAGAGCATCCCTTGAGATCTGAAGGGCATGGATGAAGAAAACAGTGGCTGGTCAGCCGGACAAAGTTAGACTCCAGGGCTCAGCTCTGGAAGACGACGAAGAAACTCTGACACTGCTCAGATTCATAAAACCTACTCACTAGCTCTCCAGCCCTTTTAAGCAAGGCGAAGAGGAGACTGTTACCAAACTAAGCTCACAGAAACAAGGACACACTGACAGAATAGCACATGAGAATAACTATGAAATAAACCCAAAGGTTCAAAAGTTGAACAAGAACTAATATATTTATGTTTAGAAAACAACTGATATGGTTTGGATTTCTGTTCCCATCCAAATCTCATGTTAAATTGTAATCTCCAGTGCCGGGTGAGGGGCCTGGTGGGAAGTGACTGAATCACGGGGGTGGTTTCTAATGGTTTAGCACCATCCCCTTCACACTGCCTTGTGACAGAATTCTCCAAGGTCTGTAGATTTAAAAGTGTGCACTTCCCCTACTCTCTTCCTCCCACTCCAGCCATGTAAGATGTGCTTGCTACCCTTCACCTTCTGCCATGATTTTAACTCTCATGAGGCCTCCCCAGAAGCAGGAGCCTGTACAGCCCACAGAACTGTGAGCCAATTAAACCCCTTTTCTTTATAAATTACCCAGTCTCGGGTGGTTCTTTATCACAGTGTGGGAACGGACTAATACAGTCAATTGGTACCAGAGAAGTAAGGCATTGTTATGAAGATATCTAAAAAATGTGGAAGCAGTTTTGGAACTGGGTAATGGGCAGAAGTTGGCAACAGTCTGGCGGGCTCACAAGAAGACAGAAAAATGAGGAAAAGTTTGTAATTTCCTAAAGACTTGTTGAATGGTTTTGACCAAAATGCTGACAGTGATATGGACAATGAAGTCCAGGCTGTGGAGGTCTCAGATGGAGTTGAAGCACTTACTGTCACACATTCTTGCTGTTTCAGCAGAGACTGGTAGCACTGTGACCCTGCTATAGTGATCTGCAGAACTTTGAACTTGAGCGATTATTTAGGGCATCTGGTGGAGGAAATTCCTAAACAGCAAAGCATTCAAGATTCAACTTGGCTGCTTCTAACAGCACATGCTCATATGTGTGCACAAAGAGATTATTTGAAACTGGAACTTATATGTAAAAGGGAAGCAGAGCATAAAAGTTTGGAAACTTTGCAACCTGGCAATGTGGTAGAAAATAAAAATCATTTTCTGGGGAGGAACTGAAGTTGGCTTAAGAAATTTGCCAAGAAACAAGGAACAGAATGTTCGTAGCCAAGACAATGGGGGAAAATGTCTCCAAAGCATTTCAGACACCTTTGTGGCAGCCCCTCCCATCACAAGCCTGGAGGCCTAGGAGGGAAAAACGGTTTCATGAGCCGGGCCCTAGCCCTGCTGCTCTGTGCAGCCTCAGGACATGGCATCCTGCATCATGGCTGTTCCAGCTCCAGACATGGCCACCCCCTCCAGGTTACAGCTCAAGCTGTTGTTCAGAGGGTATAAGCTCTAAGCCTTGGCAGCTTCCACATGGTATTAAGCCTGTGGGTGCACAGAGGGAGACAGGTTAGGCCTGGGAGCCTCCACTTCGATTTCAGAGGATGTATAGAAATGCCTGGATGTCCAGGCGGAAGTCTGCTGTGCAAGTGGAGCCCTCATGGAGACCCTTTAGGGCAGTGTGGAGGGGAATGGAGCCCCCACCGAGAGTCCCCACAGGGGCACTCCTAGTGGAGCTGTAGTAAGAGGACCACTGTCTTCCAGACCCCAGAAAGGTAGGTCCACCAACAGCTTGCATCACGTACCTGGAAAAGCCACAGGCATTCAATGCCAGTCCATGAAAGCAGCTGTGGGACCTGTACCCTATATAGCTATAGGGCGGAGCTGCCCAGGCCTTGGAAGACAACCCCTTGTATCAGTGTAGCCTGGGCGTGAGCCATGGAGTCAAAGAAGATTATTTTGGAGCATTAAGATTTAATGATTAACCTGCTTAGTTTTGGAATTGCATGGGGCCTGGAGCCCCTCTGTTTTGCCAGATTTCTCCCTTTTGAAAAGGGAGTATTTATCCAATGCCTATATCCCCTTTGTATCTTGGAAGTAACTAATTTGTTTTTGATTCTATACGCTCCTAGATAGAAGGAACTAGCCTTGTCTTGGATGAGACTTTGAACTTTTGAGTTAATGTTGAAATGAGTTAAGACTCTGGGGCACTATTGGGAAGGCATCATTCTATTTTGCAATATGAGAAGGACATAAAATTTGGGAGGGACCAGGGACAGATATATGGTTTGGATCTGTGTCCCCACCCAAAACTCAAGTTGAATTGTAATCCCCAGTGTGGAGTGGGGCCTGGTAGGAGGTGATTGGATCACGGAGGCAGTTTCTAATGGTTTAGCACCATCCCCCTTGTGCTATCTTGTGACAGAGTTCTCCCAAGATCTGTTGAAAAGTGTGTAGCACTCCCCCACTTCTCACTCTTCCTCCTGCTTCAACCATGTAAGATGTGCTTGCTTCCCCTTCACTGTCAGCCATGATTATAAGTTTCCTGAGGTCTTCCCAGAATCAGGAGCCTGTACAGCCCACAGAATTGTGAGCCAATTAAACCTCTTTTTTTTTTTTTTTTTTTTTTTTTTTTTTTTTAAATAAATTAACCAGTCTCAGGTAGCTATTTACAGCAGTGCAAGAGTAGACTAACACAATCTTTTAAACATTTGACATTTGGCCTTTAAAGCTGTTATGAAACACAATGGAAAATCATCACCTACATGGTGGTTGCTACATTAAGAAGAAATTCTTTATTATTCTTAATAGAAGCAGTATCCAATGAATGGAGAGGCAGAGATACAGTGATGCTTTTCTTTTATAAGTAATTAAGAACTGTTCCTAATAGTGTATGTTGATGACCCTCTGAGTAGATCAGAAAGTGAGAAGTATTTGAGGCAACGGAAGCTCCAGAGTTGCAACCAACAGGTTATCACTGGACACTAATGTGCCATTAGTACCTGGATTAAAAAGAACACTCCCTGAAGACACTGCCTAGACACTATGCTCAGTTAGTCATGGGAGGTAAAAGATCTGGAATCAAGAAATCAGAAAGTATTTCTTCCACTTCTGTATGGACTGAAGGACAGACATAAAACTCTTTTCCTCCAGGAAGATATACTGCTATTAACTAGCAGGTTTGGTGTGGTTCTACAGGTCTGCTATGCCCAAAGCATTGTCGTGGGAGTCAAGCTGTGTGAATGGAGCTTTCCACACAGTCCCATGCCTGGCTCTCTAAGAGCCGGAACTTGAGTACTGCCTTCCTGATAAGAAAGACTACAGTGTGTCAGGCCTACCAGTTTTCAAGAGAATATCTGCCAGGCTGGGGAGGGTGGGAATCCAAGGATCTATCCTGTTAGAGCACAATCCCTCTGAGTAAGTCTCCATGGCTTCTCAACTTGGTAACAGCTGTTGCAGAAGAAAAGTCTTCCTGCTATCTACTCTAATCTTTAATTTGCCAGGTTTCTGTATACTATAATCCAGTAGTCAGTCAGGGAAATACTGGAAGTCTGGGCAAGAATAACTTGGAACTCATCAATTCACTTAGTATTTGCAGCTGGTTTGAAATACAGATATGAGCAAGAACCATGGGTTGCTTTAAACTAGTAAACAGGAAAGCCTCAGGATGACTTTTCTTGGTTTAGGGGACATATAAGACTGTGTCAGATCTTGCAAAAAGGAACTCTTCCTAGCAATTAGGTTCAAGTAGTTGGATTAGGAAAGTCAATGTGAAATGAAGTGGTTTTAGTTTAAGAATCTATTCTATAAAATATACTTGAAGAGAAAGGGGCAGAAAGATAAGCTTTAAGTTGTTAACAACCTTTTCTGGCTTACAAAATGCATGTCTAGCCTGATAATAAATGACCTATTTTTCCTTACATAAAAAGCTAGAAAGTTGGAACTTTATTTTAAAACCAAGTAAAGAAAGCAAGCTAGAATTTAAAAAAAAAAATCACTAAAAAAAATTACGGAAAATTAAGATTTGTGAATTTTAAAAAAGCCTCTCAGGTAGTAGACGTGTGCATTTTGGGAAAACATTTATGGACTAATTTCAATTTAACAATTCACTAGTGCAAGCTATTAACATAGTACCTGACAAAGGATGTTAACAGAATTGTGTTGTTATAAAAGATTAGTATGAAGACTACAATCCCTTCAAGTGCTGCAAAAGTAGAAATTGGTAATAAGTGTGTTACTGTAAAGCGGTATGGTTTGTTGCCACCTTGATTTCCTATCAAGTTCTAGCTGACATGTTATTCAGAGTGGTCTTAGAGTCTCATATGCATGGTCCATCCCCTACACTGGTTTACAATGAGAAAAAGCACAGCTCTGACACATTACTGTAGCTGAGAACAACAGACACTGCCTCTCAGTGTTAACAGCTTTCCTTGCAGAGGCTGTTTATGTCTGGGTAAGGGACGTGGGGGGTCCTAAGCATGCAGCATGCGCTCTAAGAGCATCTGTAGCCACAGCCAGGCAGAGGAAGGTAGAACCATGCAGGGGCAAAACACAACAAAAACCAAACCAACAAGGAAGTACAAAGAACAAAATAAAAACCAGAGATACTCTCAATCTTCCCTAATAACCAAAACTTACTGTATGGATCTGAAGAAGGTAAAAAACATGAGGGGGGGTGGGAAGCTTCCTTCAGTGGTGTACTCTGAGGAAATGATTAACTCTCCAGACAAAATAAACAGACTTTCCCATCAAAGATTGCTATATAACCGAAAGACTGACAACAGAAAGTAGTTACTTTAAAGGTGGCCATTTGGAAATATAGAAAACCAAAATTCAAAGCCAGGAAGGATATCTATTGCTTTGTTCAATATCTCCCAGTATGCTGTAAGAATGTTATCAGGTGCGGAGTAAAAAAAAATGTAAAGAAATGCATATATAAAGTAGGCTTTTTAACTTTTAAGATGTCTCAGAGCCTTTAAATGCCAGTGGCTACCAGGACACTCCTGAAGGGATCTAGGGTTTATTTCCCACCCACTGTTCACCTTCTCTCTCAGAGCAAGTCCTGAATTGAGTGTGCTGTGGACAGCACTTTGGGAGATGCTCATCTACGCCATCCAAATCTCCTCATTTTCAGAGGAGGAAACTGAAGCCAGGCTCAAAGCTGTCATTCACAGCCAGATAGCATCAGAACTTAACTTGCTCTTCATTATAATTTGAGATTATTTAAGAGAGAATCCTTCTGGAGTGGTAATTCAATATGTGAGAAAATTTAAGAATTCTGTTACCATCAAAAACAACTTTCATAACTTCACACAAATTATAAAAAACCCACAAGTTAACTTTCCCCAAATTTCTCTAATATGTTGATCTAATAAGAAAGCACTGGTATCTCAAAAGCATCGGATTAGTTACATTAATTTATTGAACAGGTCACAAAAGTAATAGGAAATGTCTTACCTTTCCTTCAGAAACCCATACTAGCTGGTTTTGCTGTTGCTGAATTGCTTCTTTTAGTGCACCATACCAACCATCATTCATTGAATTTAAGTTAATTGTAGCTGAAAATAACAATGTAGTTTTATGGTTACAGCACTGCCAAAAGTCAGAAGAATAAATTCAATCCTGCTTACGGCTAAATCATCATTACTGAAAGATGGTATCTGAGGAAGGAGGCAAAAACTTGAAATCTCTATTTTGCAACTGTCTATTTTCTTTTACCCAAACAGCAGCTGTTAGCACAACAGAAAGCTTTCCAAGAAAACACCTTTTAAGTTTTAGTATTTGAACACCACAGCATTTTGGCCTACATAATGTTGTCCAGACACTGTAAGCTGAAAGAAGGCCTTTATTAACATACTCACTCGTAAAAAGATGGTGATTATTTTTACGAAGTTTATGAGATCGCTCATATAACTTCCTGGCACTTTTCCGAGATTCTGGACATAACCTCATTCTCATTGTTTTTACTCCTTGCTTAGAATCGGGGTTAAGAAATACAACAATTGGATACCACTGGGCATAGTTAAGACGATCAACTGCATTTGGTGTTACATCTAGTAAAGCATGTTTGTCCTAGAAACAAAGGAAAAACAAAGGCATAAGACATCATTAATTAAGAATCACCACATTCAGCTGGGTGCAGTGGTGCACCCCTATAATCCTAGCACTATGGAAAGTTGAGGTGGGTGAATCACTTGAGTCCAGAAATTTGAGACCAGCCTGGCCATTACGGAGAAATCCTGTCTCTACTAAAAATGCAAAAGCTAGGCAGAGATGGTGGCATATGCCTGTTATCCCAGCTACTTAGGAGGCTGAGGCACAAGAATCACTTGAACCTGAGAGGTGGAGGCTACAGTGAGCCGAGATCACGCTACTGCAGTCCAGCCTGGGTGGCAAAGCAATACCCTATCTCAAAAATTTAAAAAAAAAGAATCATCATCACATTCAGAAAAAGTGAAAAGTCTGTAATATATTTAAGTGGTAACAGATCTTTAATTGTATTCTAATGTCTCAGGAGCACATATTTTAAAAAAACTGTAAATGAAGTTAATTCAATACTATTTCTAGCCAAATTTCTAAAAAAACCTTTCTATGAAGCTGACTTTTTTGTTTTTGAAGCTCACTTTTAAGACAGCCTTAACACCGCAAACTGATAGTATTATCCATGTTCATTTAGAGTGAAAATAAGTTTAAGAATTTAATATTTCTGACATTCCTTAATGTAAATATCAAACTACAACTTGAATTGTACTGATGTAATATATAAGCAGTCTATTAATAACATCTAAACATCATATACTTGTTTTGTGGTAATGAAAGATCATCTTCTCATGCCTACTGTAACTATTCCCTTGAAAGCAATTATTATAATGTTTTTCAGTAAGGGTTTAATTTTCTTATAGTATGTCAATAACAGTCTTAGAAAAACTACCTTCAACTTTTGAATTAACCAGTCCCATCCCACTCAAAACCACAATAACAATAAAATAGGTCAAGTTTTAATAACTTACTTGATCTATGATCTGCTTTATTGTATGGAGGCGAATAATGCCAGAGCTACGTTGGTCAGTTCCAGCATCTCGTGGTTCACTCTCTATTCATGATGTCAGGACAAAAATAAAACATCAAATTTTCATTGGTTAGATCAAAGTTTCTCAACTGCTGGACACCACTGATATGCTGGGCTGGATAATACTTGGTTTGTGGGAACTGCCTTATACATGCAGTACTTAAAGTGAGTTTTAATATCCAAACTTTTTTTTTTTTCCATTATTTTCCCAACTACTTTAATGTTCCAGAAAAAAACTTAGCCATTCAAGAAAAAATATAAAGGAATGCACTTTTTTTTTCTTTTGTTTGGGGCTCTGATATGGCTCAACATGGCACTACTTCCCTTTTTCATACTGTGCCATCCAGAGAAAATATTATTTGTATGGCACACTGAGATAAACTGAGGAGGTTGCTCCTTTGTCAAGCTCTGCCCAGCTACTACTGGCTGAAGAGATCAACACCTTGGCATGTCCATCTATCATCACTAACGGTGCTATAGCAGATTACCTAGGAAGTTCTGGGTTAGACACCTTAGTTACACCAGCAGAAGGGGAACTTGGGGGCAGGGAGCTGTTCATCTGTAACTGTGAAATAGCTTATGGCTTCATCTTGGTGTATAATGTGCCCAATGCAGCTTGGGCTGGTTTCCAACCAACCATCTCAGAGCACGGCAAGTTTGTGACTCCAGTCATGAGGAAAGTTTGAAAGGAAAAGGAAGAGCTTTGGTGTTTCAGAGATCAGACAAAGGTAGAGATCTGGAAAGACATGTCACACTGAGGGACAAGGTAAATGATTTTAGAGAATCAGACAATCAGAAGACAAAATACCATGGACAAGCAGGGCAGAAGTGCAAATCTGGTGAACATGGGAGAATTAAGAAGAAAGATCAACTGGGAATTTTGGCTGGAAAAAAAAATGCTACCAATTCCTCAACTCAAAAGACTGTCATTGGATTCAAAGAAGATACATAACTAAGCAGCCTGAATCCCTTGTTGTGGAGTAAACCTGATTAAACCTATCTATTATCCTTTAAGGCAGAGCTTTGTAAGTCATCGTACTTCCTTTTCCCAAATCTAAAAATCCTAAATTTGGTTATGGGTAAGGGTTACCATCAACTTCTTCAGGTGAAATGTGATCTACACGTCATGACCATAAAACGACACTTCTGAAAAACCTAAGAAAATAAACATTTTCTAACTTGCTTAAGTTTTACTCAAATCATTTGTCTGCACATCTTCTGATTTTCATTAAATAAATATTCTCATTCAACTTCATTATCAACCAAATGAAAAGCAATATATTTCAACTTCATTATCAAACAAATGAAAAGCAACATATTAAGAAAAGATAATGTTCTGATTCTTTAAATTAACACTATGCAGTTTAAAAATGTTACTGAGGGTCTTATATAGTGCCAGTGGGAACAACAAAATCCCCAGCACAACTCTCTGGAAAGCAGAAACATTTCATCATGATTATGTGAACAGCTATATTCTTAAGGATTTAAATCCTTTGGGAAACAAAGCAGGGCATAAACAAGGAAACAAAATATGAACAGATTTCTGTATCTTTTGTGATAATAAACTATAAATTTGAAACAAATGATATTAAAAAAGGCTAACTGAACCACAGACTGCAGGATAATGAAAATATGTCATTACCTATAAAAAAGGACAGGAGGCTGAGGCAGGAGAATTGCCTGAACCCAGGAGGCGGAGACTGCGGTGAGCCGAGATCGCGCCATTGCACTCCAGCCTGGGTAACAAGAGCGAAACTCCGTCTCAAAAAAAAAAAAAAAAAAAAAAAAAAAAAGGAAAACAGGATATAAACTTTTCTAAACAGTATAAATAAAACTTGGCCAAAATATGCTTAAAAGGGTAGGGAAAAAAAAAGAATGGAAGAAAATAAAATGGAATAAAATTTAGGGTGTTGATAATGTATGTAAAAATTAATTTTCCAACTTTTCCAAACACAGAATGGCACTTATATAATTACAAACACTTTAAAAATAAAACAACACTGGGTGCAGTGGCTCACATCTGTAATCCCAGCTCTTAAGGAAGCCAAGGACAGAGATCACTTGCGCCCAGGAGTTCAAGTTCAGCCTGGACAACATAGTGAGACCCCATTTGTGTCATTTGTGTACATAAACTCACTCTCTCTCTCTCTCCCTCTCTCTCTCTTTCTCTCGCTCAAAAACTAGCCAGGCGTGTTGGCACATGCCTGTAGTCCTAGCTGCTTGGAAGGCTGAGGTGGGTGGACTGCTTGAACCCATGAGTTTGGTGGGACTGCAGTGAGCAATGCTCTAACCACTGCACTCCAGCCTGGGCAAGAGACTGTCTCTGAAAAAACAAAGTAATAAAGAATCTGTAAGCAAAATGTATTTGGCATACAAACCACTGCAGTCTCAATATTTATACTCAGTACTCTCTTATTTTAAATGTATGCAATAATAACAGCTGATAGCATTAGCCATGTTTTATTACCTTTTTTAACTATTTGTGTATTTGTCAGTTTAATGACCAGAAGAATTGGAATGGATCAAGAAAGGGTTGTGGTCAAAGCTGAGTCTTGTCACTCATTCACTGAGGGCCACTACGAAGTTTATACTGAAGAGACTGGTAAGGATCCATACCATGATCATCCAAGTCTCAGGCTGCTCGACTGGAACACGGACATTATAATCCTTACCTTAGAGCATTACTGTGAGGATTCAACAACACTGGATTTTATGCAGTTTTTATATGAAGCCAAGAGTTTCATAAATGGTAATTTTCTCATTAAAGAAATTAGTAGAACAAGGACACGATCGCTGGGGTTTTCCACCAAATTAAAAGAATGGGACAAAACGCTAATTTTCCGCTGACAAAAAGTTTACTGAGTGAATTAGACTCGCTTTAGAGGTGTAACTGGTAAAGAAACATTCCCAACCTCATTTAAGTTAGTCTTAAGGCTACTTACTTGCAATTTGATAAATATCTGGTTCTTCTCTTGCCAGCTTTTCTCTGGCAACATCAGCTATTGGTCCAAAAATGGTTACAGGCCTCAGAAATCCAGCTGGAAAGAAATTCAAACAAAAAACAGCATACTTTATATCTTTTCTCTCTTAAACATACTGACATTAAAGGATATTAAGTCTGTAGAAAATAAACTACCTTCTCGAAGAACCACTCTTTCATAAGCTGGAAACTTTGTTTGAACGGGCTGAGCGGACAAATCCTCTCTGCTTTTTCGAAGATTTCTCTTGGAGCTGCGAAGACCTCGGAATCTCCAGAAGTCAGCACGGTCTCCCCCTGCAGTTTTTGGAAGTGTATACTGTACGCTGGCTAGCTGTTCAGCTCTACGCAAGAAAGGAGAAAATTAAAACAAGGGCATTTAAAACAGAAAATGAAAAAAGACCCACAATGAAATGCACAGTATTATACAGAAGTTTGCATGTAGTCTAACTCTTAATGGTTTTAACAAAGAATAGTTTGTAAAACTAAGTCAGTTATAGATATGGCGAATACAATGAAAAAGAACTCTTTAAATTACCAAGATTTCCCAGTGGGATTGAAATAATCTATAATTTACTTGATTCATTCTATGAGAAGTATCCAAGCATTCATACCTGTTCTTATTAGGGATGATACCTCGTTCTACCTCCTTATGATTTTTGCCAATTCGAATGGCAAGCCAAGAGCCCAGTTTTCCATTGTACAAGGTATCCACAACACGGAACACCTCTCCTTTGTTAAAACTGAGTCCATAGGGAGATTCCTTTTCATATTCAAAATGGGTTCTAATATAGAAAGAATCTCCAACATCTGATTCTACAATGCGACGATAAACTAAAAGGAATAAAAACGAACACATTATCAATATTTTGTGGCATAACAATCTGAAAGAGAATACATTATGTAAAGATGCTATGATAATATCAATAATAGTATCCAACAAATTCTTACTATGGGCCAGGTAATGTATTATGTATTTTATTTCATGTATTCATCATCATTACTATAAGAACTGGAACTCTTAGTACCTCCATTTTGCAGATGAGGAAACTGATACAGAAAATACATCAAGTAACTTGTCCAAAGGCACACGCTTGTTTTCTATTTCTATCACCTAACTTATTTGCAAACATTGTAGACATTTCCATATTTAAATTGGCAGTTCTCAAATGAGGGTAATTTCATCCCTTACCATCCAAGAGGACATTTGCCAATATCTGGACACAGTTTTGACTGTCGCATCTGTGTACTGAAAGGGTAGGGGGTGTCTGCACATGGCATCTTATCTAGTGGGCAGAGACTAGGAATGCTCCTGAACATCTTACCATACAAAGGACAGCTCCTAAAACAGCATTTGGTCCAAAATGTCAACATTGTCAAGGCTGAGAAACCCGGCTCTAAGTGAAAAATGTATCTACTTTATCACACACAGAATGGGGTTTTCTCTTCAATCAATGCTAATAAACATGAGTGTACTGCTTAGAAATACCAGTACAAAATTTGAAAGCTGCTGATACATACTTTTGTATCATTCTAATGGCCAAGAAATCAAAATTTTCTATCACCTATAAAGGGTTGAATGGCATTTTATTTAAATTAGAATATTATACAGGTTAGTCCTATTAGTGTGCTCTGCTAATTAATGAAAATCATCTGAAATTATGTGCACCTAAATGACTCAGAATATGTAAAATTAAGTTTCTTTGAGATTAATGAATTCATTCATCACTCAACTTTGAGTGACTTATTTTTTAAAATGGAAAAAATCCCTTTGTAAGTCCTCAAACTACGAGTTTATCTCCTCCATTTTCTGACAGCATCTCACCATCCTTCTTCTTCTGAGCCAATATGGTCACTTCTTCTCCTTTAGGGAGGTCAAGCAGGAAAAGGACAGCTTCTTCTCTTATAATATTTGTAAAATCTACGTTGTTTACCTATTAAAATAAGATTTCATAAACCATTCTTGTCTAAGAATATGAAAATAATACACACAGGACACAGATATTCTTAGTCTACCTAATTTGAAAATATCACATCTTTTTTTTTTTTTTTTTTTTTTTTGAGATGGAATCTCGCTCTGTCGCCCAGGCTGGAGTGCAATGGTGCGATCTTGGTTCATTGCAACCACCACCTCCTAGGTTCAAGCGATTCCCTACCTCAGCCTCCCAAGTAGCTGGGACTACAGATGCCTGTCACCACTCCAGGTTAATTTTTGTATTTTTAGTGGAGACAGGGCTTCACCATGCTGGCCAGGCTGGTCTTGAACTCCTGACCTCAGGTGATCCACCTGCCTCGGCCCTCCAAAGTGCTGGGAGTAGAGACGTGAGCCACTGCACCCAGCAGAAAATATCACATCTTTAATAGGAAAAAAATCTTACTTTGTAGAAAATACTACACTCTCATTTTTAAAAACCAGAAACAAAGCAAATAAAGTGAGTTGAAGGTATACATTTATTTAAATATTCACAGTGTATCCTGACATTAAAGATCATCTGCTGTAAAATTTAACCAATTTAGATGAAAAAAGATAACTTTTTACAAGTTGCTGAAAAAAAATAAAAAGAAAATGGGATTAAAAAGACAGTCTGCACTGTAGCATCACTGTAATGGCAGCTGTGCAATGCAGGCTCCGTTTGCCAACCGAGTATTTACTTTTATTAGAAGCTCCTAATGCCAAAATGATAACTTATCAAAATGTTACCAGTGACTGTGTGCAGGATTATAGACAGGTTTCCTTCTTTCCACCTTTTGGAAGTTATCCAGATTAAAAAAGAAAACAACAGCACAAACAGAAACCAAAACAACTGACATGCACCACTTACTCTTATGAAACAAAACCAAACCAAGGTATTAAGAAACACTTTTTAGCCAGGCGTGGTGACTCATGCCTGTAATCCCAGTACTCTGGGGGAGCCAAGGTAGGTAGATTGCTTGAACCCAGGAGTTTGAGACCAGCCTGGGCTACATTGTGAAACCCTGTCTCTAGAAAAATAAGAAAGTTTGCCAGGCATGGTGGTGCATGCCTGTGGTCTCCTAGCTACTCAGGAGGCTGAGGGGAGGATCGTTTGAGCCCAGGTGTTTAAGGCTGCAGTGAGCAGTGATCACACCACTGCATTCCAGCCTGAGTGACAGAGATGCTGCCTCAAGAAAAAAAAAAAAAAACCAAACATTTAAAAAATGTATGCCATAATTACTTCAAAATAGGATTAAGAGGTGGGTAAGAAAATAGGTCTCTTTGATTTCCTTGGTATAGTGAACGTTATCATACATGTTGTATTTAAATGTTTTTGCTATAACTTGATTGACAGCAATGTAAACATCATCAGAAAGAATCACAATATCAGATGGAAGTAAGTCTGAAGTCATGATGACGCCTTGACTTTTTGACATGCCAAGTTTGAAATTAAAAGGAGGAGGATTCAATGAGAAAATGGCCACAGGTGGCAGGCTGACAGAGCTCAGGAAATTATTCAGAGTGAAAAGATTTTGATTGTGAACTGCTCACTTAAGCAACCAAACACAAAAGAGAGACTGTGTAACAAAAGAAGCAGAGTTAGCAACATTCCTCAAGTTTTAATGGTTATCAGTAAAGAAGGCAGGAAAAGAATTAAAAAAAAAAAAAAAATCAGAATACCAGAATGGTGGTATTATGGAATCTCAGGAAGAAAGTACTTCAAAAAAGATGAAGACAGTCAAAACACTGCTAAAAAATAAAGGAAAAATGAGGGTTGAGGTTCAATGATGGGTTACTGAAAACTAAGCTTTGGTAGTGGTTAAAGGTGGAGGCCAGACTGTAAAACTGTGACTACGATAACTGAAAAGAAAAGAGGCAAGGGCCTCAACCACATCCTTCAACAAGTTTAACAGCAAAACAGACCACGTAAGACACTAGAGGACAGATGAAGAACCAGAGGAGAGAGAAAAAAAAAGTGAACAAAGCGGCAAGATTCTGGAGCAGACAGGAGGCTGAATCCAGGACGACAGCAAGAGGCAGACTGAATACAGAGACCAGGCTAGAGAGGCATGACAAAGACACTGTGAGGTGGAAAGGCAGAAGAAACGCAGGAGCTCATAACGGACAGATCTCTTCCGATTAAAATGGAATATGGTTTAATCTATTAAATCAAATGGAGGTGTGGATATTTTAAAAAGAGGCTGGGCGCAGTGGCTCATGCCTGTAATTCCAATAATTTGGGAGGCCGAGGCGGGTGGATCGCCTGAGGTCAGGGGTTCGAGACCAGCCTGGCTAACATGGTGAAACCCCCACTCTACTAATACAAAAATTAGCTGGGAGTGGTGTTGCAAGCCTGTAATCCCAGCTACTTGGGAGGGTGAAGGAGGAGAGTCACTTGAACCCAGGAGGCGGAGGCTGCAGTGAGCAGAGACCACGCCACTGCACTTCACCCTGGGCAACAGGAGTGAGACTTTGTCTCAAAAAAAAAAAAAAAAAAAAAAAAAAGGATACAGATTAAAAGATGGCACTATGTCAACTAGGTGACGCTGTTTACAGGGAAGGGAGGGAGGACTCGATAGATAGACTCCATTAGTAGACTGCATCTAACCTGGGCTTTCCTGATTTTTGTAACTGATCCTGTCTCTTGTGGAGTATGACGTTTAAAAGCCAGGGCAGCTTACACATTTGCCCTTGATACGAATTCCATCTCCCTGTGCCTGAGCCATTATCTGGGGTTAAGAGGGTTCCAGAAGTTGTGTGGCCTGCTTCAAGATGACTCACTTGGGAGACGAGCACTGGATGTTACTTGCTAGCAAGCTGTGGGCCATGGATGGCAGTCTTGCCAATCCGAATGTTTAGTTGAACTTCCAAAGACTACCTGGTAGCTATTATAATCGGGATGTAAGACTCGCTTACTTGTATTTCTATGAACACGAGTGATGGAAATGAAATGTCACATTCTTTACCAACACATAATATAGCAGTAAACAAGAGCAAGATACAAGAATGGGAAGTGAGAAGTCCAGAATAAGCTAGACCTGATGGATTTTGACTGCAAAAGTTTAACTGGCTCAACAGAGGCTGCATACAGGTTACCATCTAATTACAATAGTAAGCTTGTTGTGTTTGATGCCTTTTTCTGGTGATCTAAGTACTTTCCAACCCACAGAAGTTGCGAGACTGACGTACCCTGAGAATTTGATCACCTTCCTCTAAGCCTTCCTTGGCTGCAGGGCTATCTTCTAGAACGCCAGCTACAAATATTCCAACATCATTTCCACCAGCCAGCCGCAAACCCACACTATCTCCTTTTCTGAATTTTACCAATTTCATGCTGGGCCTGTTAAAACAGATATTTCATTTGAAACAGTTAAGAAGACCTTAAAACATTATAGCAAACTACTACAGTGAAAACTATTTTCATAATTAAAGAAAGAACCGTCATTTCTAAAACTTCCCACATACCACTAACTTACTAAATAAAATTTAGTATTAGAATTAAAACCAGATTTAATAAAACTATGTTCTGATTAACATTTTGAAATATTCAAATTTAGTATACAGTACTATTTTACATAATTAAATTACTTTGTAAAACAATGTTTTCTCAACTCTCAAGGAGTCTTGGGAATACATGGTATATTACCGATGGCTAAAAAAACTTCCATTTTTTCCACCCCATTTCACGTATCATTTCTATTAAATAACTGAAAAGTCCAATTTTTTAAAATAAAGGTAGAAACTGAAGTATAAACTGGCTAATCTTCCTGACACAATGGAGTCAAAATGAGTTTCCAAGCATTGTGATTTCTACACGCAATAGTGATTTTTTTAAAAATTTGCAGTTGGTGGACTCTTTCAGTAGTTCACAGAGTAGTTCAATTACTCTGCTGCCCCTCTGAGTTTTACCATACAAATCATATAGTCATTGAGCCCTTCTACATTAGCTCCACATCCAATCTCTGTCCCTTTCTAGTCCCTTGAATGGAAAAAAAATTAATGAATAAACACCCACTTCTAGCATCAGTGTAGTGTTGAAACCTTGTGACACTCCTTAAAACAAATACTAAAGGATGCCTTATAAGAACTGACTGGGCCAGGCATGGTGGCTCACGCCTGTAATCCAAGCACTTTGGAGGCCAAGACGGGCAGATCACCGGAGGTCAGGAGTTCAAGACCAGCCTGACCAACATGGTGAAACCCCATCTTTTTAAAAAAAAAAAGAACTGACGGGGAACAGAAACAGACTGTAATTACAAATTACCCTCTATATTTCCCACCTAGGTATTCACAAGTACTCTCACATTCCTGGTCAAGAAAATATACTATTTTGCCTATTCTAACAAGAAGTGTAGAGAAAAAATCTCTATACTCTTATTTCATTATATAATAGAAACTAACAGATAAAAAAATACAAGTCAAATGAATGAATGTGTTGAGGGAGGAGAGATTTCTAGTCTTTTCAAGCCAAGTAAAGACCACCTTCACTTTCAGAACTTACTATTTATTCACTCCTGATTGGGTGACCTACCTGGAACTGAGATCAGCTAGTCATAAAAGCAAAAGGCTGAGAATCAGATGAGGTAGCTCACTGGCTGGTGGCATCCTTGATCCCTTCATGAAACTATTTACCAGCTTTACTACAAATGGTCCAAGCCCCTCAGTTGAAGTGGTACTCTAGTTTCCCAACCAGGTCAAAAGCATTCTCATAGCCTTCTCTCCTAAACCCACTGTACTTAAAAGCTCTTTTAAACATTGCCTCAAAGTCCTTAAGACTCTGGGTCTCAGCTGGATATGGTAGCTCAAGCCTATAATCCCAGCACTTTGGGAGGCTGGAGCAGGAGGACTGCTTGAGTCCAGGAGTTTGTGACCAGGCTGATCAAAACAAGACCCTGTCTCTATTAGAAAAAAAAAAAAAAAAGGGGGTGGGGGCCGGGCGCGGTGGCTCAAGCCTGTAATCCCAGCACTTTGGGAGGCCGAGGCGGGTGGATCACGAGGTCGAGAGATCAAGACCATCCCAGTCAACATGGTGAAACCCTGTCTCTACTAAAAATACAAAAAATTAGCTGGGCATGGTAGCGCATGCCTGTAATCCCAGCTACTCAGGAGGCTGAGGCAGGAGCAATTGCTTGAACCCAGGAGGCAGAGGTTGCGGTGAGCCAAGATCGTGCCATTGCACTCCAGCCTGGGTAACAAGAGCGAAACTCCATCTCAAAAAAAAAAAAAAAAAATTAGTTGTGTTTCGTGGCTTGTTCTTGTAGTCCTAGCTCCTCAGAAGGCTGAGGTGGGAGGATTCCTTGAGTCTAGGAGTTTGAGGTTACAGTGAGCAATGATCACACCATTATACTTCCAGCCTTGAAGACAGTGAGGCCCTCTCTCTTTAAAAAACCAACAAACAAAACACCAAAAGACTCTAGGTCTTTGGAAATCCTCGTCTAACCCTGACCAATCTAATGTGCTTCAAGCAGCAAAAACAGTTGAGCACAGTCTCCACCCTTTAGTAAAATCTGAATTTTGAAAACCACTGTTAGAAGAGAGTTTCAGATGCAATCTCACCAACCGTGTCATGTCCTTGGAGGACTGACATTTTATACTTTGTCCTGCCTGCATTATATTAACTACTTGCAATAGCAAAACAGACGCACTAACTTCCCCATCAAATCCATTCATTGGCTTTACAAGAAAAACCAAACCTTTCCTGGTGCAGCTGCCGGTACTGCCCATGTCCTCAAATCCTCTGTGGTATTTGCTCTCCCCGGGAAGGAGGTCTCTGGAATCTTACCGTTACACTTTCATAAACCTTAAAGACTTATAAAAGTTTTCAACCAATTTCCGAGAAAGGAAAAAGGGGATTATGCCTTCAAAATTTATAAAAGTTTAATTATCAATTACCTAATATTAAAATTGTATCATTTTAAACTTGTGAAAGCCTCATCCCTTTCAGAAACTATTTCTCTCTAACTAGCTGGGTCTAAGACAACAACGCAATTTTCTTTAGCAATGAAAACAAATGAGATTGGGGGGGGTCTAGATCTAACCTACTTGAGGAAATGTGCCAATTTTCAATTATTCACATCATGTCCCTTTTACCAGTGGCAATAAAAAACTAATTTGGGCTGGGTGTGGTGGCTCTTTTCTGTAAAGCACTTTGGGAGGCTGAGGTAGGCGGACTGCTTGAGCCCAGGAATTTGAGACCAGTCTGGCAATATGGAGAAACCCTGTCTCTACTAAAAATACAAAAATTGGCTAGTGTGGCATGCACCTTTAGTCCCAGCTACTCGCAAGGCTGAGGTGGCTGAGGTGGCACTTGAGCCTGAGAGGCAGAGGTTGCAATAATAATAATAGCACCACTGCACTCCAGCCTGGGTGACAGAGCAAGACCTTGTTAAAACAAACTAACCAAACAAAAAACCAATTTGATGAAAAAGACGGTTTGAAATTTGTTTACAAAATTTACATCTCAATTCTACCAAGTATAAAATATAAAGTAATGAAAGGTGTAAGATAGCAAAAACTTACTTTTGAGTTGTTAATGTAAACATGCCACAATCTCTCAAAATAAACAGTCTCTCAAAATAAACAACTAGCCCAAAATGCCACTAGTGCTGAGACTGAGAAACTTTTTTTTTTTTTAATGCTCCATTAGAAAACTGTGGAAATTCTGATGTCTGAATAGAAACTTTTCTTGTTCTTCTAATTTCTAACTTAACAACTAGGCAGGAGACAATGGTGAGAAAGAAAGCATGTAAAATGTCCCTTTCGTTCTCTAATTTCTAACTATCATATATAAGTAACAGAATGTTAAAAAACCTAATCATAGTATTAGGTGGTATGTACTATCTTAAAAATTATATAAAATATGGTTTACAATCAAATTCCTACTCTTTAGGAATTTGATTGTAAACCATATTTACGACAATGCTTAAAAATGAACAAAGAAAACAATACAACTTTAAAACTGTATTACCGAAGAATCCCATCTTCGTGAGTTGAATTAGGTAGGACACCATCAGATGGACTAACAGGTAAATCCACATCTGGTTGCCCAACTTGAGCATACACAGGCTTTGGCTCTAAGAAAAAAAAAAATTAATTGAGTATGTTTCACTTTAGAAAAACATGGAAAAATGTAAGCAACCAGTAAAATAACCAAATAAAAAGATTTTTCTCTCTCACTCTTCCTCTCTCTATATATATGAATCATAAAGTTCAGAGAACCTGAACAGGAAGATATCTACCATATATATTAGAGAGTATATTTTATAGTAATAAATTCTGAAGTCTTTATAACAAGTAGGTATCTTACATGGTCACCAGTGTTTTCCATAATTCCAGCAATCAGAATTTGAAAAATCTGTTCTCTAGGGACAAGTAACAAAAAATAAATGTGAGATGAGAGAATCCCTATATTTAAGACTGCCAAAGTAGCTAACTTTCCTCATAATGATAAAATTTGTTTTTAAATAACCACTCAGCAAGCAGAGCAAGACAGAAGATCTGAGAAAAGGACGTGAGACATCAGAAACAAAATCTCCAGGCATTCTAGGCAACCGATCTTAGAACCTTGCAGATTCTTATGTTTTGTCTTCACAGGCAGCTTTAAAAGGATACTTGGGTCGGATGCGTGGCTTGCACCTGTAATCCCAACACTCTAGGAAGACAAGGTGGGAGGACTATTTGAGGCCAGGAGTTGGAGGCCAACTTGAGCAACACTCCATCTCTCCAAAAAAAAAAAAAAAAAAAAAACAACCAGAAAGCCCACAACAGCCAGGTGTGGTGGCGCACACCTGTAGTAGGGAGGATCAGGTGGAAACACAGCTAGAGCCCAAGAGGTCTGAGGTTACAGTGAGCTGATCACACCAGCTAGGTGAGAGAGTGAGACTCTGTCTCTAAAAAACCCAAAGAGAATGAATAAATAAAAGTATACTCAATAAAATGTTAATGAAAATACTTTCAAAAAAGCAAAATAACTTTAGTTTTTAAATTTTTGAAGCCAATCTCATGTTTCTCTCTCAACAGCAGTGTTGGGAAAACAATTCTATTAATTGCACGAAGTTGTTAACGGTAAATATTTATTATCTAGAAAGTAAAAACATTCACGAAAGGCTACTGATTTGTACCAACATATTACTCATAAGAAAAATGCTGGAAGTCATATGCAGAAAAACTCACAGATGGGAATAATAGTAACTGCATGTTTAAAATCTTCTGTAAACCCTAACGACTACTTTATTCTAATTGCAAATGTTTCTTGAACTTAGTGTTTTGTTATGCTTACCTGGAAGAGAAGGTGTTTGTTTCTCATTTCTTTCAACTGTAACTTCTTCTACTATTTTAGGTGTGTGATCATCGGCATGCTTTACAGGAGTTGAGACTGCCCCAGGTTTAGAAATTCTCTCTTCATCTCTGCTCCGGTGACTATATGTCATTAAAATAAAAAATTAAGAGCATAAGAATAATTCTGGAAATCATCTGTAAGAGAACAATGTAAGAGGCAACACAACTTCAAAAACAATGACAACCTGCTGTTACCAAAATATTATAAAAAACTAGTAATTAAAACCACAGTAGCATTACCATAAAAAAACTAAACAGATTAATGTAATAAAATCGAAAATGAAGAAATATATCTACAATGGCAAAGTTTATTATGAAAGCAGTATTCCAAAACTGTTGGAGAAGAAACGTAACATTTAACAAATAGTGTTTGGACAACTGTCCACAAACGTAGAAAAATTAGATGCCTATGTATAACAATGGCAAAAATAAACTGGTTTCAGATGAACTCAAGTCCTAATCAAAAAAAAAAAGTTTAAACATTCATATAATCAGTAGAAGTCTTTTAAAGTAAGAGTCAATGAAACCACAGTATATCAACAAAGTTGATTACATAAAAAAAAAATACACACAAATAATTGGGAAAAAGATATAATACTGGGTTGAACTAAATGAAATGAGAATTCTTTAGTTCAAACAGCTGAATGTTAACAATTTCATATAGTTTGATCAAATATAAATGTTGACTATGTACTGATCTACGCAACATATTTAAGAATTTAATACTTAAGAAAAGACAGGCATAATGGTTCACGTCTGTAATTCCAGCACTTCAGGAAGCCAAGGCAAGAGGACTACTTGAGCCCAGGAGTTTGAAACCAGCTGGGCAACATAGCAAGCTCCACACTCTGTAAAAAAAAAAAAAATGTAGAACGTAGCCAGGTACTGTGGCTTGAACCTGTAGTCCTAGCTATTTAAGAGGCTGAGGTGGGAGAATTGCTTGCGCCAAGGAGTTCGGGGCTGAATTGTCACTGGCTTTACAAGCAGGGCCCTTGCTCCATATATAACACAAAACTCCTATGAGTATTTTTATCTTTGGCTAATTTGCTTACTCCATTGCTAATTACACCTTTTTGTCCTGTGATATAACTTTAAAGGTGATTAGTCTTCAAAAACATTTCATATGAATAAATGAAACTCACACCACTCAATTTTTCATACAATTAATATTTGAAAAAGTACTGCTTTTTTTAGTGCATTTCCATTATCCACCAAAAGATGGAGGCATTATTCAATAATAAAGATCTAGAACAGTGCTGTTTAAGAGAACTATAAAATGACCTGATTATGTAATTTAAAATTTTCTAGAATTCATGTTAAATAAGGTGAAATCAATTTATAAATTTTATTAACTCAATGTATCTAAAATAGTATTTCATCATCTAAGTTATTAATGAGGTATTTTACATCTTTTGTGCATTAAGTCTTCAAAATCCTAGATGTCTTTCACACTAACAATACAACTCGATTTGGACTGGCCACATTTCAAATGCTCAACAGTCACATGTGGCTAGTGGCTACGGTGTTGGACAATGCAGATCTAGAGTTACAGTACGAAACAACCAACTTTTCCAAACATTAAGATGTTGTCACAAGCAAATATGACTACGAAGTCAAGACAAAATCTGAATTTACGCATGAAATTAGTCAATAATCAGTGGCAATTATTGAAAGAAATTGGTGAGGATGTGATAATGAATCACATTTTCCCCAAACCTTCCTCACATAATTCTTTTTTTTTTTTTTTTGAGTCAGGGTCTCACTGTTGCCCTGGCTGGAATGCAATGGCACTATCATGCTTCACTGCAGCCTCAACTTCCCAGGTTCAAGCAATCCTTCCACCTCAGCCTCCAAGAGTAACTCGACTACAGGTGCATGCCACCATATCCTGCTAACTTTTTCTACTTTTTGTAGAAAAAGTTAAGTTCCAGGTGAGCCCAAACTTCTGGGTTCAAGTGATCCTCCCGCTTTGGCTTCCAAAAGTGCTGGGATTACAGGTGCAAGCCACCATGCCTGGCCCTTCCTCACATAATTCTATCCTAGTGGCTCTCAATACTTAAGCCTAAAAAATGTGTCTTTTTTTTTTTTTTTGGCCATTATGAGGAAAGCTTTCTGTAAATATCATGTGTTTGGAATCAGACTAATGTTTACATACTCTAGGTCCTAGTAGCTTAGAAGGAAACTTTGGGCATTTTAAGGTACTCAAAACCCTCTTAAGGAGACTTCTGCTTTTCCCCAGAAGGGTACGACCAGTTATGTTTTTTTCGTATTAAGTTGCATATAACAAGCTAAAGGTAATGACCTTGTTACCTAGAGCCTCTGAGCTAGTTGAACGCTCTAGGCAAGACAGCTGCTCGACAAAGATGGACTGTAAAGAAGTATCTGATAGAGTTTTTATAACTCATACGAATGGACTGACTGTAAACAGAGCCGCCTTTAGGTCTTACCCAATCAAATGTGTGCCCAGGGCAGCTGATTAATACACTCAATTAGATTAGCAAGGAGTAATATGCTGTTTCAAGTAAGAAACTCTGGGTGTGAAAGCACAACTGTCTAGAGCCATTTAGTATAGGCAGTGGGCACGCAGCATGGTCAGTACGGGGTCCTGGAGAGACACCATAGGCGAGAGGGTGCGTCCCCTCAGCATGCTCCTGCAATGCCTAGCATGTGAAAGTACTCAGCGGCCAGTAGCCTGCCCCAGAGACTCCTTCAAATGGTTCTCTAGTGTGAAGTCTCCCCAGCACATGTGAGTACAAACACCGCGCAAGTTCGTCTAGTGCCACACCACAGCAAATTCTCGGCCACTCAGTGAGACACAGTTGTGCCCTTTCCAAGAGCCAGAGCTTTCAGCCCTGAGGATGGATGGGTAGGAGCCTCTTCCTTTGGCACTCTTTTTCAGCACCAAGGGGAGAAGCTGCTCCTTCTATCTGAGGTTCTTAATCTTCCGAGCTCTTTCTTTAGTTCTTACCAGCCAATCCCTCATTACTCCCCTGTTATATTTAATTTCTTCACATTCAACTTTCTCTGTTCATGGAAACTGCTGTCTCCTGATTGATAAGATATGCCAGGTGGCCACTTCATGACGCTTTCCCTCATACTTCTAGCTCTACGAACACCTTTCCAATCAACTCCAATTGTGCCTTCTTTAAAAAAATAACCTTAATACAGGAAAGAAATGGAGGGCTGAACATTCAATCAAGTAGAATGTCCTTTTATAAAGCCAACTCACCATTACAAATTAAAGACTTGTCCTATAAAAACAAATTTACACATACTTTTGACAAGTTCATTAATTGCATAAGGTAGGCAAGAACAACATAGTTTAGATTGAAAACAAAAGATACATACTAATCCCTTTAAAACGTATTGGATTATCTCACCTGAAATTAACAATAAAAATATGCTAAGAATTTAAGTTAACCGTATTCCAAAGTTTTTTTTCCACTGACAGGAAAATTTCAGCCTGGAGGGCTCTATTGCATGAGAGACAGAAAAGTGAAGGCGTACTCCAGTTTCATACTTAGAATGTTGCAATCCTCTAATTTGGAAACAAATATTTACACACTGATGTTCCTCCTTCATAGCAATTAAAAAATTGTCTCTCTGCCCTGGTACCCAGAGAAGTCTAGGGATGAGAAAACAAGAGATCCAGGGCTGGGACCTGGGAACAAAATGGGAAAAAAGCTGCCCAGGAAGTATACTGAGAAGGCAGGAGAGTAATTCCCTTAAATCCACCTTGTCATTCTGCAAGCTCATTTCCCACAATGTGAACCTGTCCTTTAACATATAATCTATTTTCTAATACATATATGTGTTCATGAACATGCTTCTGAAAAAATCTGAGTCTATTTCACTGTGATACGATTTCAGGTAGTAATTTGGATATATGGAGCTTATTCGGTACCCACTTACCTCAAACATTCATCTATTAATCTAGCCCATCCGCATTAGAAGAAAAACACAAGTAATTTTCACGGATATGGACAACTTTTAGTAAGAAACAACTGAGGAAAGCCCAAGAGAACTCTTTGTTCACTTAAAGAATTGTGTTGTTCTACCTTCACTGGTGGCCTAACGATTATTGTATACTTCAACTAATACTTATGAGTAAAATAGCACTTTGTGCAGCTTATTTGGTAGATTTTGCAGCAGGAGACCAATGTCACAAATCTTATTAGGATTCTCTAAAAGACAAGAGGATTGTCTCATGTCTTAAAATCTGCAAATAAGATTTTCTGTACATTTACTATTTTTATACATATAGACAAGTCGAAGAGTCCATTTTAAAATTTGCCATTTTTTAAATACTATACTTGTAGAAGAAAGCAAGTCTCAGTTGATGAAGCAAATACAGTTTATACTTTTAATTTTTATTTTCACAGTATTTGAGACAGGGCCTTGTTCTGTCACCCAGGCTAGAGATCAGTAGTGTGATCACGGCACATTGCAGCCTCAACCTCCCGGGCTCAAGCAAACAATCCTCCCATCTCAGCCTCCTAAGTACCTGGGATCACAGATGTACATCAGCATGCCCAGCTAAATATACTTTTTTTTTCTTTTTTTTTTTTTTGGAAACAGAGTCTCGCTCTGTCACCCAGGCTGGAGTGCAGTGGCATGATCTCGGCTCATTGGAACCTCTGCCTCCCGGGGTCAAGTGATTCTCCTGCCTCAGGCCTCCAGTAGCTGGGGCTGTAGGCACATGCCACCACGCCTGGCTAATTTTTGTATTTTTAGTAGAGACAAGGTTTCATCATACTGGCCAGGCTAGTCTTGAACACCTGACCTCAAGTGATCCTATCACCTCTGCCTCCCAAAGTGTCGGGATTACGGGTGTGAGCCGCCACACCCACTACTTTTCTTTTTAAATAGAGGATATATGATAAATATTTAAGCCTGTCTTTCTGCTACTTGATCTATAATCGTCTCTTAACTGCTGAAATCTAACAGCAATCACAGAAACACTGGGGTTTCCATTAACTAGAGAAATGTTATCAACCAAAATCTTCCCTTTTCTGGCCCCTCATGAAAGCACATTGAAAATAAAATCTCAGATTGTAATGTCAATGAAGTAACCGAAAATT